ACCCGTGCAAGTCATCCTCGAGATGAATCTCGTAGCAGTAGACAACAGGCTCGCCGTCCTCCCACGTTGGCATGAGGCTCGTGAAGCCCCGTAGATGATTGTTCTCATCACGCACGAGTATGTAGCGCAGCTCGGCAGATTTCATCTCGACCATTTTCTTCTTCGGGTGCCAGCCATAGGCGGAAGCGCGGTAGTCGTCGCCGCTCGTCTTCTCAACGAGATCATAGCAGGCCTGGAGCTCGTCGTGTGTCATGCGAGCTGGCTGCTTGAGGCACAGGGCGTAGAGCTTCGCGGTATGTGGGTGAGTCCATGTTGCCCACCCGTCGCTGGAACCGAGTCAATTCAATTTGGATCGTGACAGGGGATAAGCTGATCTCTCGCAAGGGGCGCAAACCTTGGTTGGAGATGATCGCGGATGAACTGCTCATCTGTCTTGCGGTTTGCTGCCTCGAGAGGATTCGTCGGCGCCCTTCGTCGTTTCTTTGGCGCATCAGCCATTCTGTGTCAAAGACAGGGGATCAGACGGTCTGTCTTCGGAGGTCCATCACCGGCGCAGGAGTTTTCAGCGCGGTGAGGCTATGTTTGTGTCCAAGCTAAGTGCAGATGGCTGTCTGTTGGGCAGTCCGTGATGGATCGCAAGGCACGACAGTCAATGCACCGACCAGAAGTCACTGACCCGGAAGTCACGAACCAGACATCGGTGGGCCACGTACGCCCTGCGGTCAGCGGGCTGGAAACCCCCACATTTCCGACCTTGGGGCCCTAACCGACGCTAAGGCAGGGGACCTGAGCACACCCACCACTACGCTAATGACATCTTGCCTTACCCAGAACACTCTTGTTGGTAACCCAGCCGGCTGAGGGCCAGGCGCCTACAACGGCTTGCTCGGCCGGAGTTTGCGCCATCTATCAAGCTGTGAGGTCAATGAGAGGCCGTTGTTGCAGACCAGACGATCCCTTTTTGGGTGCGTTGTCTCAAAGTATATGTAAGTGCCTATCCCTGGAAGTCAGTCTCTCAGCATTGACATGGACAAACTCAAGGTACCTTACCTTGCCTTGGGCTGTATTCAACGAAATTGCTGAACCTTCGTCGGTGTACTCTATCACAGGTGTCATCCGATGACGACAACAGGCCCGTACGTTCCGACATGCTGTCCGGGACGAAGGCACATCCCCCGCGAAAGACGACGCACACATGGTGACGCCCGCGGGTTGCTGGGACCTACTTGGGGCCAGTTCATCTCCATCCATGGGACACTGACTACCGCATGCAAGGCTCGGTCCGAGCGGCGATGAATCCCGATGCACGCCAAATGGTCGACTAACTGGACCGCCGGTTCAGGTATTGGGATACCTTCGACCTTCGCCATGTCATCGGGCGTTCACAAGCCTAACTATGACAATCCAAATCTCCCAAGTGCCAAGTCGGCCAAACAGACCACACTTTGGTGTATGGCATATTCCAAGCCAGCCAAGGGTCAGCAACGTCATGGTGAAGACAAGTAGAGAATGTGATCCTGAGGAAGATACTTTTGGGTGCACCGACTAGATGTGGGTCATCATGAGGGAGAGCACCTCCACAGAGATTGCCCAACACGGTCAATTTCTTTTCGGAGCAAGCAAATAAAAAAAAGCAAAGAACTCGGCACGCCGCAGAAACAGATATCGGCATTTGCTTGATTCGAGTCATGGGTACGCGAGGCCGTGCTGGCAATCCTCCACGAGTCGGGTCTACATTCGGGTTGGTCCTCTCCCGTATGCATCACGCTGGATTTGGGAAGCCAGTGGCCAGGCTTGGCAAGAGAGGTGACGACCATTCTTCAATACTCGGGACCCCAAATCGGGAAGAATACTCGTGGCACGCAGCCCTGACATCGCCGTCGGCCGTCTTGACCTTGGCACATGGCAATACAGTCGGCCAAGTTGATCCAGCCGCTTGACTGCGTCACTAGAGGGAGGGTCTCAAGACCATGGACCATCCCATGTGGGCGCCAAACCACACTAACGACTGCAGGCATCGTGTAAAGGAGGTACATCTCCATTGCCTCACAGACCTGACACGATTGTTCAGCTGCTCCATCTGGCCCTAGCGGGACCTGTCAATGTCATTTGGGTTCGCCAGCTCAGACATACACGCGCCGTCACTGGACGATCACTTTCCTACTTGAGCCGTTTCGACAAGTCGCTTAGGCCTTGAACAAGCAATATTGCGCTATCCGCCACATATGGCGTCCGCGGAGCTCTCAGAGACACTATCGAAAAGGTTGTCTCGGGCATTGCCTGCGTCTTTGCACTTTGCAAGCTTCATAGAGCAATGATTCGCATCACGACCATGGCGCACGTTCCGCCAGGGGCTGGTCCTTGAACTCGTCATAAAGCAGGGAACATTCCGTATCTTTTGGGACGACGACTGGCAGGAGTTCATCCCATCACCTTTAGTTCGTCGAGTCTTTATTTTTAATTCTTGTTTAATAATCATGAAGCATCTTTCTGCTTTCAGTCTTCTCGCTCTTGCCTTGCGCTCAGTCTCGGCGGGGACATGTGACAGCGTGCGAGCGCTGGGCGATGTTGAGGTCAGTCGCCGGGCGTCCTTGACGTACTTCAAAGAACAGCAGGAGTACTGGTCGACGTCCTCGGGGGACTTGAAGCCCAGCTGCATTCTCTTCCCCGAATCGACGCAAGAGCTTGCCGACATTGTGGCCATTATCCGGGACAATAATGAGACCTTTGCTGTCAAGTCTGGTGGTCACAGCCCCAACGACCACTTTGCCAGTATCGACGGCGGCCCTCTCATCTCCACAGCCAGACTCAATCAAGTCACTCTGAACGCAGCTGAGGGGAAGGTGCGTGTTGGTCCGGGAAACAGGTGGGAGAATGTTGCAGATGCTCTCGATGGCACCGGATGGAACGCTGTTGGTGGCCGCATAGGAAACGTCGGAGTCGGTGGTCTTCTGCTCGGAGGTAATTTGTCCCTGCTCTACAGAAATACTCTGCCACTAACGTATAAACCCAGGCGGATTGAGCTTCCTCTCTACCCAACGGGGTTGGGCAGCCAACTCTGTCCTAGAGTATGAGCTCGTGTTGCCGAACGCTACTGTTGTCAACGTTACCCAGAACAACCACCCCGATCTCTTCCTGGCACTGAGAGGAGGCAGTAACAACTTCGGTGTCGTCGCTTCGTTTCTTCTGCAGGCCTATCCTCAAGGGGAAATCTGGGGCGGTAGCATGTTCTTCCCCTCAACCCCCAAGACGGATACGGTCATTCTCAACGCCATCCGCGACTTTACCGAACACTACCCTGACGAGAAGGCGGCCATCATCCCCACAGCCGTCCTGACTGGCGCCGGGCTCGTCAACATGTGGACCATCTTCATGTTCTACAACGGTCCCCAGCCACCGGCCGGCACCTTCGCCAACTTTACCGCAGCCAAACCTTTCTTGAACACGTGCAAAACGCGCAGCTTCCGAGACTTTGTCCGGGCCAACAACTACGGCGTCATCAAGGGAAGCGTCTATCACATTGGCACCGAGACGATGCCCCTGCCCTCAGCCGCCAACATTGACGTCCTCGAGGACATCCACGAGCACTGGCGCAACGTCCGTAACAGCGTCAAGTTGGTGCCGGGCATGACGTCCAACATCGGCTACCAGCCGCTGCCCAAGGGCATGGCCCGCATCGCGAAGGAGCGCGGCGGCGACCTGCTCGACATGAGCGACGACGTCGACCGCATCGTTCTCCAGATTACGCTGAGCCACCTCTCATCCATCAACACGCCGGAGATTGAAGCCGCCATGAGGACTGCCTACACTGGCTTCAAGGACCGCGTGGATAACTACACTGCGCAGGGCGTATTGCCTGAAACGCATCTCCCTCTTTTCATGAATGATGCCTTTTACGATCAGGACTACTTTGGAAGGTTGCGACCGGAGCATCAGCAACTGGTGGCTCGGGTCCAGCAGGAAGTGGACCCTGACGGCATGTTCAGAGATCGCACTGGGGGTTTCAAGATTTGAGAGGATCGTAGTTTTCCACATATAATCGCTAATATACGCCGCTTTCATGTTCCGTTGCACTTTTCCCTCCCTTGCTTTGATACAAGATCTTCAAGGGGAGCTGAAAGAGCAAGGCGGCCCCAAAGAAAACAGCTGCACATCATACTTGGCAAGTGGCGAAAGATCTGGGTGCAAGAGCCAGTGACAGTGGCGTCAGTTCAAGGTGTCTTGCGATTGCGTTTATCCATATCGTGTATTTCTCCAGCCAAACGTCTTCGTAGCGAGATGACGTCAAAGTTCTCTTCCGCTCAATGATTCAAGAAAAAAAAGGACGCAAAAACCAACACGAATAGACTGTGGAGCTGTTGAGCGAAGGCTTTGCTGTGACACAGCACAGTGAGCGCAACAGACGGCCATGATCAACGTCGGAGCTGAACCACTGGTGCTTTTGGCGCTATCGAAAAGCCCTGTCCTCAGCTCCCTTCTTCCGTCCTACGACAAGCCTCCTAGCTCCTTGCGTGCTGCAGCTCGGCGCCAGCTGCGGCAGAAAGTGTGGCGCTTCGATGCACTGTGACCTGATCGATCGGAAGAGCTTTTCACGACCGGGATATGATCTCCTCTCGCTGTGTGTACCTGATAGAATTGTGATGTGGAATTTGAGGCGCGTTGCCTCTAATTTTTTTTTTTAAAGATCGTATTTTTAGCAGGCTACTATGCGAAATGATCAACCCTTTCAAACGATGAAACTGTGAGAGGACAGATGTAGGCGACTTGTTACGTTACCGCGGTGTGTTCACGGGGTGTAGGTATCTCCATCCGGGCCAGGGTTAGGGGAGGGTTAGGGTTACTGGTACCCCCTGAAACAGCTTCCCAAATCTCAGCGTCAGTGCTCCACCAGCCGACGTTTTTCCGACCAACACTCACCATCACGGCAAGTCAAGCTTGACAACGGAAGTAGATGCTGCTCATGCAGACTGTCCAGCCATTGAAAACCTCATGAACGCACCATGACGCCTACCCTCGGCCGCTGGTGGCTTGCTGCCCGTGGCTACTCAACCGCTGCGCCGGCAAAGACCCGCCTGAAGAAGACCCTGAGTCTCGACCATGTATGCCGACTAAAACCATGCTTACACTCATGTGGAAACTGACATGAGCCGCAGTTCCTCCAGCGCGGCCGCGTCCTGTCCCTCTACCGCACCATCCTCCGCGGCACGGCTCACATTTCCGATCCCTCGACAAAGGCCGAGTCTCGTCGCTACGCCCGCGGCGAATTTGAGCGCCACCGCCACGTCACGGACATTGTAAGTCTACACCACGATAGAGCTCGCCTGCTTGATTCTGTGAACCTGAGACTAAACCCATAGGGACACATCCGCTATCTGCTCTCCACGGGCAAGGTTGAGTGGGACAGCATGGGCCGCTACGTAGAGGGGCTGTAATCTCTTCCTGTAGAGTATGTGTAGAAGTAGGTATTTGGTTGGTTGGTGATGGTACAGTTACAGACTGCGTGCATGCGCGTCTTCTAAGTTTGCCCGCGAAACGCCGTCTACCCGGTGCTGCTGCCGGCATTCGTACACTTTGGTGCCTCCTCCCACCCTGCACATCTTCTTCTATTCCATGCGCTGGTCTTTCGTCTCGCACCCCCCTTGCGTGACCCGGCGGACCAAAACCTCACCTCCGCCGCTTCTTCGAGTTCGTAGGCCACTGCTTAGCCCTGGCGCTGCTTATGCCTGGGGTTCGACTTGCAGATGACGTAGAGGTAGCCGTTGTGTCGCTTGCCAGCTTTCCTGCGCACGATCTGCATGTACCGACCTCGTCAGCATCTTGCCACCCCGAAGACACGGATGAAAAACCCACCTTGCAGTGCTCGCATCGCTTCTTCACAGAGCTGTGCACCTTCATGCCCCGAACCTGCTGCACGATCGTCTGCACCGCCGTCTTGGGCGTCGACTCGGCAAGGCCTACGCGCGGTCGCGAGAAGAGTGCCGTCGTCAGGGCGCGGGTCTGTGTCTTCGTCATCGTCGGGGCCGTGGCGGCGAGGGCGCGCGGCGCCGTCAGGGTGAGCGCTCCGAAGGAGCGGGCGAGGGAAAGGGCCGACATGGAGCTGGTACGGAGTTGCGTGCGTTGGGGGAGTCGTTGTCGCGATCCGTCGTCGTCGGGCGGTTTTTCGTCGAGCGGGTGCGGATGCCGCAAAGGTGCAGGGTGCAGAGTTGAGATGGGCCGACGTCGCGCGGTCACGTGGGGCAGTTCTTCACCGCGAACCACACCGAAATTGGACTTCACCGAGACATACCCCCAACGCAGGGGTCAGTCATGTTAGCAGAAAATGGCAAGATGCTATCTACGAAGCTGCGGTGATCCGTATTCAGGATGAATATCTGGGGGGTTGGATGGCAGGCCTTTACGCATTCATGTCACTCGCAGGGATCTTATTAGTTTTGCGGTGGAATATCTGTTCGGTCCGCTAGGCCTGCCCATATACAGAGGGCAATCGAGAGGCGAGCAAACAAGACTGCTGAAGAGTTCATTCCAATGTACATTGTCATCTAAGTACCGTGAGATCTATCGTTCCCAACACCAAACGCCATGCATCGACAATCCTCTAACTGCGCAAGAACGTCTTGAAAACCTCTGACTCGGAACAGTCCTCCCACGGATAGCCAATCTGGTTGAGGAACTTCTCGAGCTCCTTCAGCTCGGCGTCTGGACAAGCGATACCGGCGAGAATCTTGCCAACGTCACCGCCATAGTTGCGGTACTGGAACAGCGTAATGTTGAAGCTCGTGCGCAGCGTGTTGAGGAAGCGCTCGAGCGCGCCGGGCCGCTCGGGGAAGTTGAACATGTAGATGCGCTCGTTGGGGACGTTGGAGCGGCCGCCAACGAGATAGCGGATGTGGCTCTTGGCGAGTTCGTCACCCGAGAGGTCGGTGACGGACATGCCGGAGGCCTGGACGCGCTCGACGAGCATGCGCAGCTCCTCAACGCGCTGGGAGGCGGGCGCCGTCAGGGACAGGCCAATGAGGACATTGGCGACCTCATTGGTGGCGTAGCGGTAGGAGAACTCGGTAACAAAATGGGGCATGACCTTGTTGATGAGCTCGGCGAAGGAGCCGGGTCGCTCCGGGATGCGCACGGAGAGGAGGGCCTCCTTGCCCTCACCGAGGGTGGCGCGCTCGGCGACAAAGCGCAGGCGGTCAAAGTTCATGTTGGCGCCCGATGTGACGGCGACGAGGGATCGGCGTGTGTCGGTTGAGGGGTTGGCGGCAACGTACTTCTTCAGGCCAGCGATGGCAAGGGCACCGGCAGGCTCGAGCCCGGAACGGGTATCATCGTACATGTCCTTGATGGCTGCGCAGACCTCATCCGTCGTGACGAGAATGACGTCGTCGACAACATCCTTCGCGATGCGGAACGTCTCCTCGCCAGGCGTCTTGACCGCGGCACCGTCCGCGAATAGACCAACATCCTTCAGGACGACCCTCTCACCCTTGACCAGTGACTGCGCCATGGCATTGGCATCGTACGTCTCGACACCGATGATCTTGACATGGGGCGCCATGCGCTTGATGTAGACGCCGATGCCGGCAATAAGACCACCACCTCCAACGCAGCAGAAGATGGCCTCGACCTTGGACATGTTGGTCTGGCCGAAAAGTTCCATGCCAATGGTGCCCTGGCCGGCGATAACATATGGATCGTCAAATGGCGGGATGTTGATGAGGCCATCCTGCTGCTCGCGACGTGCGCACTCCTCCTTCGCGGCGTCGAAGTCCTGACCGTGCAGCACGACATGGCCGCCCAGCCGTGCCACATTCAGATGCTTGATGCTGGGGGTGCCCTCAGGCATGACAATGGTCGCAGGGATCTTGAGCTTGCGGGCCGAGTAGGCGACACCTTGGGCGTGGTTGCCGGCGGAGCAGCAAACGACACCTTTCCAGCTCTTGGCGGGGTCAAGGTGGGCCATCTTGTTGTAGGCGCCGCGCAGCTTGAAGCTGAAGACGGGCTGCTCATCTTCACGCTTCAGGAGAACGTTGCATTCGAGACGGTTGCTGAGGTTGACGGCTGGTTGAAGGGGGGTCAGCTTGCAAGCTTCGTAGACGCGTGAAGTAGCGCTGGCGATAAGGCGAAGGTACTGAAACGCAGCGACTTGTCAGTGGTAGGCCTGAGGGATGAGGAGGTCAAGATGTATGCTGACATCTGGGTATCCGTTGGGAAGCAGGAATTCCTCGGGCACGATGCTCTTGATGCGGTTGCGCTTGACCTCTGCAGGTGTTGTGGGATTGGCGCTGTACTCGGTCAAGGAGAAGCCGCCATTCGTCTCAGGCGTGTGCGGCCTGTGGTCGCCATTGGCGCCATTGGTTGTGCCGTTCGTCATGACAGGCACGACAGGAGCAGTGGACGAGTCGGCCATGGTGATCGAAGTGCTGACTTGTGGGCTGTGTCAGAAAGGGAACGGTGAGGGCAGAGGCCTGACGATGACATCCGTCACCTTGGGAATTTTGTTTTGGCGGGGCAGTATCGGAGGGACAGACTCGGTGTGGGAGGAGTCAGATCGGTGAACATGCATTGGGAGTGTGTTCATTGGACGACGGCTTTGCAGTCCCCAGCCGGCCGAGGGCGATACCGGGAGCAAGGGTCTGGACCCCTCGGTCAGGGCGAGTCTCCAACGCGGTGAATGAATCAAAGGCCGGATGAGGGCGGAGCTCCTGTGGTGGGCAGATGGTGCCCCACTAGCAGCAGGGTCCAGCTCCACGGCGATCCAATCCGCAGGCGCCAATTCGGGAATTCCATCATCGATTTTCTAACAGCTGCGCCCTCCATCGCATGATCACGAGCTTGATTCCTCCTTGCATCAAACACCTCTACGTCGACCACAAGACATCCTACGAGATCTCTCAACAGCTACTGCCAGAATGCCGAATGTAGACGACTCTGTCATGGGGCGGCAGATGCCGTCCTCTTTCGATGAGAACCAGTAAGCCCCGAGCTCCCGCATCATAGCCACCTACTCCTACTGACCCAATGTCTATAGCGAATTCTACAACGAGAAGCCCATGGCGAAGATCTTCCGCAAGCTTAGGGAAGAGCCTCTTATCCCTCTTGGTACGATACACAAATACCATCTCTTTGTCCGTAGTCAGCCCATCTGACAGTTTCCCTTCTAGGTGCCGGCCTGACCGTTTTCGCATTCACCCAGGCCTGGCGCGCCATGCGCCGCGGCGACCAGGTCTCGGCCAACAAGATGTTCCGTGCCCGCGTCGCAGCGCAGGGCTTCACCGTCCTCGCCATGATTGCAGGCAGCATGTACTATAACAAAGACCGCGAGGCTACGAAGGAGCTGCGCAAGCTCAAGGAGGAGCGGGACAGCGAGGAGAAGCGACAGAAGTGGATCAGGGAGCTGGAGATCCGTGATGAGGAGGACAAGGCCATGCGAGCGCGGGTCATGAACCGTAGGGCCAAGGCCGAGGAAGCCAAGGCGGGCAATGCGAGTGCGACGCCGGCGGAGGGCGGCGAGGCGAAGAGCGGCGTTCTGAATGCGCTGGGCCTGTCGGGTTCTTCGTCGGGATGGGGAAAGCCTGGCGAGGCACCGCTGGGGGACGCGAGCAAGGCCGTGGATGACGAGCCCATCGTCAGCAAGGTCAAGACGCCCACCAATGTGAAGAGGGTGTCTGCGGAGGACGGCAAAACGAACTAGGTCACAGGGTCGGTCACACCATGTCATCATTGTATGAGTAGGTACGGTGACTGCGACAGTTGGTACGATAGCAGTGGGCGGCCAGAGCACGTGGTCACGGCGTTCCGGATGATCTCGCAATTATGTATACGTAAACAAGTAAACAAGAAGGCTTGACAGCAAGCTCACGACTCTGCCAGAAAACTTAGATGCACAAATTTTTCTCTCCTTGTTAGTTGGAGTTAAGCGGAGGGTGCCCAGTTGACTTGCCCATCAACTCAGGTTGAGGTTATACTGCCCAAACAGGCATTCATTGAGGTAGGCTGAGCCAGTAACTCAGTCAGCGAGCAACCCGACATCAGGTACTTGCCCGGTACATAGGTAGGTAGGTACCTTAGGCTGGTAGGGTACTCAGACAGTGACAGCTGGTTCATGTGCCATTGGAGGGGTCCTTCGTCTGACTCCACTATGACGGCGGGCTTCAGTCAGGGATCTTAAGGACCGGACATAGGATGCACCTCCCTCTTCTGCCTATGCTTCACCTTGGCGCTGGGTGGTTTCATCAGTCCACCCTTTCCTCAACTCGAGGCGCCTGCACGCAGCGTCAAGAATGCATCGCGCACCCTGATCACTATCTCCGTCGTCTTCTACTTCGCACAGTTTTGGTACAATGGGCCAATCGCATTCAGACGAGAACCCTCGGCGCCGAACCCGCGAGGACCTTACACGCGAGCTCGTAAGCTTTCCTGCCCCGCCATTAGGGACCCCTTCCCAGGCAACCGTAAGCTAACCTCGAGATATTTCCAGGCTCGCCGCTTCGCCGACAAGTGCTTCACATCGCTCGAAATCTACTCTTACAAGGACGTCTTCAGGAGTCTTGCCGATGATCAGGATGGCGTCCACTATCTCAAGGAGGAGACCCTCTCCCGTTTCCTCGAGCTCCCCGACGTCCTTCACGCGTCGCCTGTTCTTTTCCGCATGATATCATACATCGGCGCATTTCCTTTTCTCAACGATGCTCCTGTTGTTCTCGGCCGGGAGGAAATGGTCATGGTCGTCACCATCCTGACGAACCGCTACCAACGAGTTCTCGCCCGAGGGGCCACCGACCGCACCAAGCTACTTTTCAAGAGTCTGGCTGTACATGACCGTGCTGCGGCCGCTACCGAACCCAAGGAAGCAAGCAAAGAGGCTGAATCTAAGGCAAAGGCACAAGAAACGGCGAGCCACGTCCCAGGTTTCGCCGTCGACGAGGCCGGCGACGAGGCCGATGATGAAGACGACGATGACTTGGAAATCGCCGCCTTCGAGCTACTTGATATCGATGATGCCGTAAAGCAGGGCGATGCACCCTCCATCAAGGGTGCCATGATCCCTGGTGACAATTTCCACAGGATCATCATGCTGCTGCTGCTCGTTGCACCCCTTGATGCTCAGGAGAGCCTGGCCTTGCATGCCAATCGGGTCGTAGGGGACGAGCTGGAGAGTTTACGATCGACGGCCAGGAACGTCCTCCATGCCTTCTTGAACGTGGAAACATCGCCTGGCATCAAGTACAGCACCTTCAACCGTATCATTCCCGTCAACTTTCCCTACCTCTTTCAAGGCTTCAATGCTTTGTTCGAGCATTTCCTCTTCTCCAAAAACTTAGATTTCTCCAAACACGAGAACCAAGCCGAGGAGAAAGAAAAGGCGGTCCAGAGAGAAGTCGCACAACCTCTTCTTCAGGACAAGGCTGACATCATGAATTTCAATGTTTTGTCCCAGCTATCTTTCTTCATTCCAGGCGCGAATTTGTTCCGCAAGCTTAGGCTGCTCTACTCTGGCGCCGAAGCAGGCTTCTCCATGGGCAGCTTCGAAACCAAAGTCTTCAATTGGCGCGCTCCCACCATCCTTCTCGTACGCGGCTCTCGCATCCAGGATGAACCCCGCGGCGGTCAGGAAGCCTCCTTTGCAGCCTCTCTGCCGCCCAAACGCTTTCCCCATGGCAGTAAGGGCGACCGCCTCACCTTCGGCATGTACATCGGCCAGCCGTGGAAGCATACGTCCAAAGAGTGCTTCGGCGACTCGGACTCTCTCCTATTTCAGCTTGAACCTGTTCACGACGTTTTTCCGGCGTCTGCCATCAACCGGGACTACGTCAGTTTCACCAAGGCGCCCACAAACCGCCCCCTTCTTGCAGCAGGCTGTCCGCACCCAAGGCCAACGCAGTCGCATCGACACGACGGCATGCTTGCCCTTGGCTCAGTATCGCTGCTGCTTGACGACTCGTTTGAGTTTGGTGTCTTCAATCACGACTACACATCACAGGGCGGCGCATACCATAACAGCGTCTCGCGGAGATACGACTTCCAGGACCGGTTTGAGGTCGAGAGCCTTGAGGTGTGGGGATGTGGAGGCGACGAGGAGGCGCAGGCACAGGCCGCGCGGTGGGCATGGGAGGCGAGAGAGGCCGAAGCCAGAAGAAAGATCAACCTCGGCACCAGCGGCATCGAGGCAGATCGTGCGCTGCTCGAGATGGCGGGCTTGATTGGAGGCGGCCGCAGCGGCGGGTCAATGGCTTGAGGTTGATCAAGACAATTTAAGAATCCACTCACATTGGACAGGAGTAGGGTGTATGGCGTTTGATCTCGTTCAAAAAGGGCAGCGCACTTTGTATGTATGAGCATCGACCAATTGTCATCGTCGATGGGGAAATCGCAAGGACGCAGGTAATGAAGGATAATATTACTAGGGCAATTCATCTCCATACAATCTAAGGCGAGACGAAAAGATGGTGCCCCCACAATAGGAAATCGACATCCGGTCAGGCTTGCTGTAGGCCTTGCAGGATACAGAGGCCGCCGGTCGAGACAATTGCAAGCCCTCCCGAGTTGCGCGTTAGAGATCCCGTCCTACTCCGCGTTCTCCTCGTCGTCGTTGTCCTCCTCGGCCACATCCTCCTCGACAAAGGTGGGAACCACCTCGACGGTCTTCTTGCTGCCGGCCTTGATAATGTTGCCCGACTTGTTGTTAAGCGTGCGGGCGCCACCGTTGCGGTTGTTGAAGGCCGAGTTGGCGGCGGCCCTGGTGTCGGTCGTGTTGACGGCCTTGATGACGGGCTTGCAGTGGATGCACTTGTCGCTGTTCTTGCCCTGATGGCGGTCTTCTTCGTGGTCGTGGGTGATCTCTGCGGTCATGGTCAGCGTTTTCTCTTTGTTTTCTTCATTGACATATAGGGTAGGATGAAGGGGGGCTCATACCTTCGCGGTACCACTGCACGTCGTCGCGGTCGTCGTGCTTCTTGCCTGGCGTGGGGGCGGGCGTGGGAGCAGGGGCCGGACCGCGGCGGTGGCAAGGAGGACCGTGATGGTGGTGATCATGAGGGTGGCAGCCATGGCGGGGATGATCATGGTGATGATGCCCGTGGTGATGTCCGTGGTGATGACCACGGTGCCAAGGGGGAGGAGGTCCTTCGTGATGATGGCGCCAAGGGGGAGGGGGCCCATGGTGATGGTGAGGGTGCGCGGGCACAGGCGCAGGCTTGGGCTCAAAGTGCGACTCGTAGTCCGGGTCATCCTCGTAGTAGGGCTTGAAGTAGGGTCTGCCGACAGCCGACTCGCCGCGCTTGGTGAGGACCTCGTCATCTCCTTCGTCGGCCGCAGCGACGTCACGCTTGGTGATGACCTTGTTCACATTCACACGAGGCCTGGTATGGTTGCGCGGACTGTGGTTTCGTCAGCTGAGTTGCTCAGACCCTATGACACGGAGAAAGGACTTACTAGTCGTGTTGGTCCTTGTAGTAGTAATCCTTGTAGCCCTGCAAAGCTGTCAGCACACATGCTCTACATGCCGGGTTGTCCTGAAACTCACGTTGTCCTTGTGACGGTGCTTCCTGTCGATATGCTCGATCCAGTAGTACTCCTCATATCTGTTCCCCAGTCAATAAGCGCACTGGATTCAACATCTTCTCTGCCATCTGCTTACCCGTCTGTCTTGGGCTTGCACTCGGGCTCCTTGCACTTGGGCTTCTCACAGCCGGGCTTCTCGCAGATCTTGCCGCGCCAGATGGGCACGTATTCCTTCTTGGCGCATTCAAGGGTAAGACACTTGTCCCCGGTGACGGAGCGCGGGGCAAGCCTGCTCTCGTCGACACGGACTTCGCTGGGGATCACGCCAGCGCTGACAAGAGCGGCCGACAGGATGATGGGGGTGAACTTCATATTGAGGTCGACAAGTCGCTGGGCGACCTGGTCAAGAACGAGTGAATAGTCAAAGAGAATGAAGGTGTTGCTCAAGGATACAGAGTCTAGTGGTGAGGACGGCCGGTCTTTATTCTTCTGGTGAGATTGCTCTCTTGGTCATCGGGTAGTGCTCGGGTGGATGCCACGACGTATGGCGTTTTCCGACGGCGGCCCTGCTGAGCGCCATCGTCAGACATCCAAAGTTGAGACCGAGGGAGTAAGCTGGCGATCGCCACCTCAAGGAAGGCTTCCCGATGGCGCCCCGATATCATGATTCGGATTGGGCGCCAAAGCTTTCATGCATCATCAGTCGGTTCTCGTTGTCCTACGTTGTTATGTTAAAGGTAAAAGCAGTGGGCGACCTCTGTCAAGACGTCCTTTCCATTACAATCTATCCGCTGATAGTGAAGAGAGCTCAAGCCGGCGTAGAGATTCTTCCAGACGCTTGAGAACCACTGTTAGCCTAACATAGCTCCCGAAACAAGGTGTGGACGCTGCAGAGCATACATGGCTAGCGAAGGTACAATAGCAATGGGCACGCTACTTCAGCTGGATACAGTTCATCTGCGGCCATCGAGTCTCGTTCTAGGGCTGCATTAACGGTACTTAGGTTTGCAGGTGCCGCAAATCAAGCTTCTGTTCTTCAGGCAAGGCGAGGTGTTAAAAGTCCTAAGTTTCAGCATGCATTGCGAGTGCGGGCGCCAGCTGAAGGTGTGAGGGAGGTGTCTAAGTTGTGTACTCGCCGTTGACTAAGTCTCTTGTTAGGTTGAAGACGACGCAAGGTGGAAAAGAAAGCAATGTCATTATAGTAAGACTTGAAGTTTCAAGCTTGGCCCAGGCCTAGGCCTCAGGGATTAGTTTTTACATCCTTCGAGATCAATCGTTACTTTGTCTGACTTTGTTGCGCAGCGCCTCCATCACGCAATGCGTACACTTGTAGCCCTTCTCGCCCTGATACCACTCTGGTGTCGACATTTCATCCCCAAAGGCACCATACGAAACAAGGACACCCACAAGTTCGGATGTGTTCTGATTTACCCTCGTGCAAAGTCTCTCCGCAGTGCCGCTGTCTAAATCTGCCACTTTGCGTTCAGTCAAGAGGCCCACGGACTCGGGATACGTGTATCTGTGTTGTACGAGTGACATGGCGGTACGCCCCTTGTCATCCACAATTTTCGGATCGGCCCCCTTTTCTAGGAGCCGCTTGACGACGCGGTGGTTTCCCAATCCCACGGCTGCCGTCAGGGCTGACATGTGGCCTTCGCCGTCGGTACTGTCAAAGTAATTCTTCGAATCATACTTCTCTAGGAGATGCGCAACCATCACGTCAGTGATATCAGCATACTGTGACGTCGGGTCGGCTTCCTTGCATTGGAGCACAGCAAAGCGCAACGCGGAAATGGGACGACTGGTGCTATGCTGAACGATGAACCCATCCTGACCTTCCCGATCAGGCAGGCTGAGGAGGAACTTGATTCTCTCCAGCGCATTGCGGGTGTGCATGAGGATCATTTCTCCAAGCAAGGTACGTCCGGACGTGTTGACCCGGTCTCTCGCGGCTCCAGCCTCGAATAGAAATCGTGCCACATTGAAGTTTCCGGTATACACGGCCATTTCAAAAGCACTGATTCTAGATACGTCAGGCGGGTCTGCGGAGATGCCAGTCTCTAGAATGCTGCGCACAAAGAAGACATTGTCAGATTCCTTCGCAGCACGCTCCAGAGGCCCCAGCCCATGTGCATCCTCGACCGTTGTACTGGCGCCAGCTGTAAGCAGAGCGCGGACCATGGCGGGATCTCGGTGGTTTATCGCCATCAGCAGAGCGTTATGCCGCTTGTCCTTCTGCGGGAAGACGTCAATCTCCCTCGCAAAGCCGTTTTCCAGTCCGGCGACCATGACCTCTGCGAAACACTGATGCTCGGCAACAGCGAATACAGCGGGGACCTTGAACTCGCCAAGCTCCAGCACGGCATCCGTGGGTGCTCCATGAGAGACTAAGGTGGAGATCGTCCTATGAATCTCCTGCACAAAGCTGACGCCGCTAGAGAGAAGTCTGGTCCAGCGAGAGGCGCCCTGTAGCGGATACAGAAGGGGTCGCGACTTCAAAGGATGGTCGATAATCATAGACCTTGCTGTGCGAAGTTCCTCGACCACCGAAGGCTCCATCACAAGTCGGTCGATTATTGCTGAGTGACAAAGTCGACACGCCAGATCCAGGGGTGATGGACATCTTGCCTCGCCAGCCTTGGAGTCCTTGCTGAAGATGGGGTTCGCACCGAGCGTGAGCAGCGTCTCGACGGCAGCCAAGTTGTTCGACCAGACTGCCCAGTGCAAAGGAGTCCAGCTGGGAGGTTCTGTTGAGTTGTTGATCTGCGTGTCATACTGCGTGGGGAGGAGAGAAGCCGCAACCGCGTGAAGATCAGCTCCCTTTTCACTAAGTGCGAAGGCAATGTCGAACATTTCCGCTGCTGGAAACCGAAATAGCCAATGAAGGGGTGTGACTCCAAGGTTATCGGCAAGGCCAGCACTCTGCTGAGCGTCGAGCAAGCTTTTTGCTATTGTAGTTCGCCCCAGCCTACAGGCTGTCAACAAAGGGAAGTCCCCTTTAAGCTCTGTCTGGGTCCCTGTGCAAGCAGGGATCTCTTTGATGACGAGAGCTACGGCGTCGGGTCGGTCTTCAGTGATGGCCCAGTAGAGAATCTGGGGACCTGATCTCGTCAGCAATTCCTTGCTGATAGGAGTTCCTGGCGGGGTCCATTTTTCAAGTTCTAGTCCTGTCTCTTCCAGATATTTCCGCTGAGAGCTACTTCTGAGTCTCAGTATTGAAAGCGGTGACACATGTTCGAGGATTTTGAGTGCTTTCAAATTCCCCTTTTCAGCTGATACCTCCAGCCAGCTACGCCAGACGGTTGGCTCCGGAAGTTTCGAATTTGTCCCGTTAGAGGCAAAAATATTGATGTAAAGAGTCTGGGCTTCCTTAGAGCCAAACACTGCAGCTTGGAATAAATACTGTTTTGCTGTCTCGAGATCCCATTCCACTCCAGTGCCTTGTGTGTACGCGATTGCGAGATTGAAAGCGGCAGATGATTTAATCCTGGCATCAGACGATTGAGCCAAGATGACCTGAAGGCTTCTCGTAGCCTCGGTCTGGACGATCCATGGCATCTTTTCGATTGTGGCGTACGACGCTGCGAGCTTCAAGTTCCGAGTCAGTCGAAGTTGCACAATGCTTCCCAGAGTGGGCAGAAGAAACCTACATTCGGGATGAAATCCAAGTAACGGCTGAGAACCAAATTTTCTTTGGCTTCATATCGGGACCTGATGAACCGTTAGGTTAGAGATACATTTGATATGCCAGCCAAGGGATGTACCTCAATTGTTCTACTTCTGGAGATTCATCTGACCACCCGGCAACATATGGCTCAGGTAAAAGTCCCACCAAGTCAGAGATGAATCTCAAGGCCTTGCATGTATCAAAGTCAATAACGTCGGACCCGTTTTCGGGTGTTCCGACAGCTTTGAAGAGGTCCGCAATGACTCGCTTCTCCACGATCTGACGTAACACATCTCCCAAAGGCCTTTCCTGGGTGTTCATCATGAAGCCATGCATCCAAAGGGTCATTTGCGCAAGCCGAGCAGCTTGATCTCTCAGTGCTTTAACTTGGACTTGCATAAGCTGCGCCGGCTGCTGCTTTGGAATCCCATCAATTGCGAGTTGGATGTACTCCAGGCATTGCGGGTAGCCTTGTTGCAGCGCTTGTGGAACTTGCGTAGTGTCAGGACAACTGTCGCCTCCAATGACTTTGATGAACTCGGCAGCCTGCGCGGCCGTCGTATCGTTGAAAGAGGCATGTGAGTTCTCTCCAAGAGAGACATGCTGGGCCAGACGAAGAAGCAGAATGATACGGTCCATGTCTTTGAATCTAGCGGCGGGAGACTTTTGGAGACACGTCTTGAGTATCTTGCAAACAATGGCCAAAGGACGTCCTTCGTGTCGAGAGCCTTTCAAAACCCGCATAGGCATGGTAGTGCACATAAGATCTGCGCTTTTCATTTTCCTGACATTGATGTCTAGATCCTGAGTGGGCAGATTATCATAAAACGTGCCACCACTCTCGAGAATGGCGAGGAAAGTAAGCCCAAAACTGTACATGTCGAGTTGCTTCAGGTGCTGGCGTTCAAACTTTCCATCGTATGATTCTGGGGCACAGTACATCTGCGTGTGGCCGACGAACCTGCCATCATCAATAGAAAGGGAGAATCCGAAGTCTGCAAGCTTGACCACAAAGTCCCGGCTCTCATGCTTGCAGACGAGAAAGTTGGAGGGTTTGACATCTCCGTGGATCATACCCACTCGATGCAGTGCCTGAATACCGCTGGCGGCATCTAGAGCAACTTTGATCTGATCTGGAAATGTGTTTGCGTGTCCTGAGATCTGGAACTCTTTTAGGTTGCCGTAGGCAGCATATTCGAGCACCAAAGCGGGGACGATTCGATTTCCGTCCTGGGTCTCATCACCTGTGTAGTGATACATGACGCCCATGAAATCGATGACATGATCGTGTACTTTAATTGGAGGATGTCGCAAAACCTGGAGCTCAGTCGCTATATCGGCAAAATGATACGTGCTCTGTCCATGCCTGTTCGGTATTGCCCGAGGATGTTTCACCACCACGAAGTCACGACCTTTGAGCAAGTCCGTTGCTAAGCCTGTAGGAAATGATGAGGTCGAGACCTGGCGCACTTCAAAGGAGCCGCCGCCGAGGGTAACATCCTCAAAGTCGGGAAGGGTATTGCTAATGAAAGGGTGCAGGCCGAGCGAATTGTCTTGTGCTAAGCAAACGCCAAGAAATCCCGCAAAATGAGGGCATCTCGAGCTTTCCGACAGGGCTTCAATACTTTCGTTGCTTGAGCTGCGTTCCGTGTAACCATCTCGCGGCTTGCTGGATACTTCTCGCCGAAACGTCGGCATCGAAGTTGACCACTCCATGATAACACACTGAGATCTATGTCGGATCACGTTGCAGCAAGTCTGGTGGCCACGTCCGGTGTGTGTTCCTTGAAAAGAGGTCCTGCTCGGAGTTGCGCTCCATTCTATTGCGTCCATTTGCCTCCAACCCAGGCTGCGTAAGCTGGAGCTGACGCCGCGTGAATGGGGCTTGAAGGATGCTGATCCTCCCAGGCACGACCCCTGCGGATGCGGACCTGACGTCGCCGACTCGGGCCGGACCGCCTTGTGATAGAGTAGGTACTCCGCCTCTTGGCTCTGTTGTCCGTGCTTCATTACTGCGCTTAGCGCCTACTTACTAACTGCAGCGTGCGTATGTTCGTATCCTTCCTTCGCAAAAGTGACCTCTTTTCCACATGGTAACATGGCGGTCAACTATGATAAAGTTGGTTTCCAGCTAGGAGCCGCAGGGCTCGGGATCGGCGCATTCAGCGGTATACTGGACATCATGTCTGCTTGCTCCAAGCTGTACAAGATGTGGCGGTCGCTGCGCGAACTCGACGGACACCTGGGCCTGCTGCGCGCCAAGCTTGTTCTTCAACATGCCCTCCTACAGCAATGGGAGCGCGACTGGCTCTATGCACCAGCCGAGAGTAGCGAACGTTCTGGCTTTCACCGCAGGCAGCGCTGGGTCAGACAACACGAGGTCGCCGTGGCGGAGACTCTGCATGCTGTGAGAAGACTCCTGGAGTCTCTGGAACCGTTGCGGTTGACTTCCTCGGCGCAGAATGGCAAAAAGGGGGCCGCGGCAGCCTTGGAGTCTCTCAACTGGGTCCACGATAAGGCTGCCGAAAGCGAGAGGGCCCTTGGCCAGCTGGATTCCCTCCTCGCGGGCCTGTATCGGCTGCTGCCGCCCATGACGCCCAACAGCGAAGCATCCCAGGTCATCCTGGCCGTGGAGGACCTCCAAGATAGCCAGATCGACGCTCGCGACGTGTCATCAAATAGAACAACGCAGAGCACCCTTGGCCTCCGTCAACTCGGAAAGCAACTGAACCTCGAACTTGAGAACCGCGTGCAACAATTTTCGCACCGCCCAGTAACATCCAGCCTGTCCATCAAGACGTCACGCGTGCAGGTCGGAGCCCACGACGAGGTCTCGGCAGGATTCCGCAACTTCGGCGTCCTCGACGGCGGCGAGCCGATTCTCATCGAGTGGAAACGGTACGACGCCAGCTGGATGGGTCAGAAGGGCATCGAGCTCCACGGCCGCATCTCGAACATTGCCCAGCTCCTGCACACGGACATGAAACCCGACGAGCTCCTGACGCTGAAATGCCTCGGCTTCTTCGACGACGTCGAGCGCAGCGCCTTCGGCTTCGTCTTCCGGCTGCCACTCGCCAGCGCGGCAGCACCCGCGCCAGCGCCAAACGGCATGCCGATGGTCTCGCTCAAAGCGCTGCTCGACCAGCCGACGCCGGAGAATCTGCCGACGCTGGAGGAGCGGCACCAGGCGAGCTACGGCATCGCGCTGTCGATTTCCATCCTTCATGCCGTGTCGTGGCTGCACAAGAGCATTCGGAGCCAGAACGTCCTGTTCCCCGTCGATCGGAACGGGCGTCCGCGGTGGACGACCCCGTATCTGGTGGGATTCGACTTCTCGCGCCCGGATGCCGTTGACGAGTCCTCGGAGAAGCCGGAGCAGAGCGCACGCTTTAATGTCTACCGACACCCCTCGGCGCACGGCAGTCCCAATGAGGGCTACCGACGTAGCTTTGACGTGTACAGCCTCGGCGTCGTGCTCTTAGAGATTGGGCTCTGGCGACCTGCATGGAAGCTGTACAAGGATGGTATGGCGGCTGAGGCGTTCCGCGACGTCTTGGTCGACAAATCAAAGACATGGCTCGGGCATCTGATGGGCACGGTCTATCGAGAAGCGGCTGTGAAGTGTCTGACTGGCAGCTTTGATGCGCACCAGGCGAAGATGAGTGACGGTCGTGATGACGATCTCGGGCTGCAAACGTTATACATCGAGGTTGTCGAGGTGTTGGGTCGCCTACAGGAGGATTGACATACCCCTTTGAAGCTGTGGCAGGGGACGCTTGGGAGGTCCTGCCATGGTGGAAGGAGGCACTAGTGTCGGGGGTCATCATCCACATATTGTAAGCCAGCTCCAAAAGCTGTCGATCACTCATCGCACATGATCACTTGAAGACACCGCAACGTTCTGTTCAAAAGGCCACATCAAACGGGAATCATCCTTTGCAACGCCAAAAAAAAATCAATCGCCAACGAGTTGCCTGGAGGGCAACCGCCTAACAGCCCCCGCCTTCCTGCTGTAGCATAACGAAACATGGAAAAAAAAAGCCAGGTCCCATAACTCGCGCCCCATTCCCTGCCTTTGCGATGCAAACAGTCCTGATTCTTCTGTATTCATACAATACTCGGCAATCGACAGTTTGCCGAGTCCGACAACACAAGCTCCATGCGCCACAACTCAGTCTGTCCCTTATTCTGTCGTATCCAGACAGCGTCAAGATTCTTCAATCTGTCTCGCCGCCAATTTCTCCACCATTGTATCGTACTCTAGCATTTCGTCCTCGCTGATGTTCAGAAGCTCACAGCCCCACCGGTATGGCTTGTAGCCTTCGTCGACTCGCTCGCGGAACCCTTGCCTCTTTCGGGCTAAGAATTGCTGATAGATCTCCTTTGCCGGAAAGTGCTCCATGAATGCTTTGGCTTTACCCTTCCATAGAATGGGGGGCTTTTTGGGCCCAGCAGACACGGCGGGTACCGGGGGTAGGACTGGTTCGACGACCTCAGGTCCATTCCCATTGGTTAATGTGGTGTCCCGACCGCCTTGATCTTTGTCCAAGGGAGGGTCGCCTCGAGGAAGGCGCATGGCGAGCAAGACGTATTCGGCACGCGTCATGTTGTCCATGACATCGACCATGTACCTCTTTACTTCTTCGGAGGGCGCAACAACCCGATGAAGATGGTCCAGCTGGCGGCCCGTCTGGGTAAAGAGACGTATCGTGACCGGCTGATAGTAGTCCAGCTTCGCATCGCCACCATATTCCAGCTGGCTGCCCTTGCGCACAATCAAGAACGACGCGATGACCTGCTGACCCCCTGGCAGGTACTCCAGAATGCTGAACTTGGGAAAGAGATACCTGTCTCCATTACCACCGGCGAATTCGAGAGCGATGCCCGAAACGTCGGGTTTTGATGGGGGCGGCGGTCCTTTGGAGCGCAGCGCCTGCTGAGGCGGGTGAGTGACTGCCCCGGGCGCTGGCGCCACCTTTTGGAGCTGGCCGTTCGTAGAGGGCGTGGGCTGGGGAGATTGGATCTGCCGCGGCTGAATCTGCGGAGGCGGTGCAGCCTGCAAGGCTTTATGTAACTTGTCCAGGATGGCTTTGAGGTCAGTCGTATCGGTGAAGCCAGGTTGATTGTCGGCGATTCTCCGAATCATGGTTCGCGTCTTCGCATCATCCAGTGCTTTCTTTACTAGAGCCACAACCAGAGGGTCACTGCCGGGAGGCGGCAGCAGCTCATGCGACTTCTGTTGCGGGTTGGTTGCTAGCACTATGTCGAGAATAGTGCGGACCTCATCCGCAAAGTATTTGACAGTCTTGCCGTCAACAATCAACCGATCAGCTGATGGTCCTTGCTGGCCGCCTTTCTTCTTATACTCAGCTGTGATCTGGTCGATAATCCGCTGAAAGTTTGTGAGCTCATCCTGCTTGGCCTCCCCTGCCGCGACGCGCTTCATGAGGTCGCGTAGATGTGGGTCCTCTGATGCCTTCTCAGCCAGTGTCATGATGATAGGATCTGTACCAGGCGTCTTGGGCGTGGGCGGCGGCTTGCTCCCTCCCTGGGTTGGCGTCGTGCTTGAAGGTCTGGACGGCACGTTGATCGTCGCTGCTGTACCCCCGTATGGAGCTGGAACAGCCGCCGAGGCCGATGGCGTGGTCGGCGTGAGACCAGCAGGAGCACTGGGTCTGGTCGCTGGCGACATGCTGTTGGTGGGCGGATATGACGGTGCTGCACTGGGGACGGGTACCGGTGCTGGGGCCAGGGCAGGTCCTTGAGAATGAGCAGGAGCAGGAGCCGGAGTCGTGACTTGAGCTGGAGCCTGGGCTGGAGCCTGGGCTGGAGCCGGAGCTGGAGCTGGAGCTGGAGATGGGGCCAGTTCCACGCTGCGAGGGGGCCCGGGAGCCGCGACTGTCTCGCCCAAAGCGGGCTGCGGCCTCGGTTGCACGGCCTGAGATGCAGGCAAGGATGTTGCTGGGCTCGCGGGAGGGGGGGTCGACTTTGCATCGGGGACTGGCGTGACGGAGGGCGATGATTCAGATTTGGGAGGCGGGGGTGGAGGAGGCATGGCTCCATTGGGAGGTCCATACTGCATGATGGGTCGAAATGTTGCTTGCGTGGTCGGAGCGACAGGCGGCGGCTTGGGGTCTTTGATCGCCCACATGGTGGCTTCGAAGACATGCGGCTCGATGGTGATGGTGACCTGTCCGAGCTTGGACATGCTATCTTTGGGAGGGTTATTGGGCTCCTCGATGACGACGCCCTTCTTCTTCGTCGGCTTGGTCCAGTACTTCTCAAAGATGCCTTCGGCAATCCATCGTTGTCGCGATCGAGTGAGAGATTCAGCTAATACGCCGCTGCAATTCCCCTTCACGTCAGCTGCGGCTTTTTGATGACGGGTCAAACGAAAGTGCTGAAGGTCAGTGTCATTACCTCTCTTGTATATTCTGGTAGTCGCGCAGCGTGAGGTCGTCTGGCTGGGCCTGCTCGACAGTAGGCAGAGGCTTGCCCGGCTGGACTGATTTCGGTAACTGCAGTTGGGGGACTTCAGCCGTCAGAGGCGACTGTGGTGGAGGCGTCGGCGCGTTCGAGTAGGGCGAGAGTCGGTCTGGTGGTGTGGATGTTCGCTTCTTCGCGATGTGGTCGACGCGTGCCGCAGCTCGCGCGGGTAGCTTCCTCTTCCTTTCCATGACGTCGGATGGGGGATCTCTGCTATGAGTATGCTGAGGGTGGCGTCTTCATCATTCACGGTGTGGACAGTCGACGACTGCACGCAGTGAAGGGAAGTGGAATTGGCGGCGCGGGGGGGAGGGGGAGGGTGCAGTGGATGTAGTGGTGGTGTAGGTAGAGGCAAGGAAGATGGGGGCTAGCCATATGTAAGAAGAAGCAAAATCCACGGCAAAGGGACTCGACTACAGTCCCGTGCTGGTGCTGCTGTGCTACTTGGTGCCAGGCGGGCCAGAGGTTCCTGCGGCTGTCGCTGCTGGCACCACTCTGGCGCGTTCTGAATCGACCCTTCTGATTGGCCTCGGTTGAGCACCCACTGGAGCTCCTCGAACGGGGCTTAGACTCTGTTCATCAGGATGGAAGTGAGTGGCTGGCACGAGACGACAGGTCTGCGTGAGAGGATTTCGATTGGAAATTTCTCCGTCGGTCATCAGGCTGCAAGGCCAGAAGAATCGGTAGAGGAGATGACGGTGATTCCATTCGCATTTGGACACAACCTTACCGTTCGACAAGCGACTGAGCTAGTAGCTGCTGCCGACCTGGTTCGTTCCTGACGTCGTTGGGTTGCGGCTGGTACCCGTCTGGAGAATGAGCCGCAACATGGCCCCTGCAGTCCACTACCATTCGGTACTTACTGGAGCCAGAGGATGCCGCAGCACAATAATGGTCTCGCATAGTAAGGAGGACCTACCTCTCTACCATGTCTGTCACCAAAGTTAGATCCGACGTCGATGACCACGCGACCACTCGACCGACCGAGGCGAGATTTGCCAACAGAATTCTATTCACGCCACCGGTCCGATCTGCAAGCTACGTAAAAGTCAATCATGTGCATATTGACCCTGAGTAGGCAGTCGTCGTAAATTTGCATGCGATTGGGAGATGCCCACTCGCCCAAGTCCCATCAATGAGTGGCAAGTCGATGCACCCGTTTACATACAAAATGTGTTACATGAATATCCACAATAACCATTCGATCTGTTATCTGCATGTCCAAGCCACACTTGGAACTGACGCGACATATGTGCTGCGGATGTCCAGGCATCACCCATTTCCTTCGCTTCAACGGCTGCTTCAATTCTTCACGATGTGCATTTGACATTTCACAATAAGTAGAGAAAAGCTTGCAATGGCCATTCCACTGGCACCCACCCTCCGGACAGCCGTCTGGGCCGTCATTGCGCCGCTCATACTGTACATTACCTTGCTCGGCTTGGCAACGATGCCTTCGGTACAACGACAGTGAGGGGCCCCATCTCTCGAGACTGAATCCGAAGGGAAGCGACGCTCATACCTCATCCCCCACAGCGCATTATATGCACACAAAATTAATACATTGTGGTTCCGTGACATAAACGAACCCGAGCTTTTCGGGTTCGCCAGTGAGTGCCTTGCCCACGGACTCCACTCCCCCCGGCTTGGAGAACACTTGGCTAACGAGAATAACGTTGAAGCTGGACAAGTAACGCCTTTCTTTCTCAAGACTCCCGATGAGGTGGAGCTGTATGCGTGGCACATTGCCCCTCTTCCGCTCTATCTCCAAAACGAGGAGGCGTTGTCGACGCAAAAGCCGGGTGTGTCCGAAGACATCACCGCCACAGAGTCTTTCCGCGTGCTCAAAGAGGACCCCAAAGCTCGCGTTGTTATCTATCGTGGGTAACTCTAAGCATGTAACACATACCAGTACTGACAGTTTCTAGTTCACGGCGTATGAACCCAAATCGTTGCATCTCACGGCCAGACCGACTGACAAGCCCAGAATGCAGGTGACGTCGCCCAGGGCCACAGGCCAGACAGCTATCACACACTCACAGACACCTCGTCCTACCACGTATTGACGATCGACTACAGAGGATTCGGTCATTCAACGGGTGCACCCTCTGAGCCCGGTCTCATCCAGGATGCGGCTACCCTGATCGACTGGGTCATCAACGTTGCGGGGATCCCCGCCGACCGCATCGTCATCCTCGGACAGAGCCTCGGCACGGCAGTCGCCAGCGGTGTCGCCGAGCGCTATGCCTCCGAAGGCGTCGAGTTTGCCGGTGTCGTGCTCGTTGCTGGCTTCAGCTCGCTCCCCAAGATGCTGCGCGGCTACCGCGCCGCTGGCGTCTTACATCTCTTGGGACCCCTCCACGCGTGGCCGTGGCTGCTGGAATGGGTGGAGCGGAACGTCATCTGGGAAAAGTGGCACACCGTCGCGCGTCTGGAGCGTCTAGTGCAATTGGCCAAGACGAGGTTGCGCTTGATCATCATTGCTGCCGCCGACGATGCTGATATTCCTCCTGAGGAAAGCAACCGGCTATTTCGCGTCGCGGCGAATGCGACTGCCAAGGGTGGACTCGACCCAGATCTGTTCGCCTCGTGGAAAGATGAGAGGACGGTGCGCACTCGACAGGATGCCTTTGTTACAACGGTCAAGGCTGAGCCGAACATTGTCATTCGACAGGAGCTCTTCCCCTATGGAGGTGAGACGCATATGGTCCAAGTGAACGGACGGTAAGGCTAACAGAGGCTGCAGGTCATAACGACATTATGGGCTCTGCGCCAGTCGCACTCGCAGTGATGAGGTGCTTTGACTTGGGAGGTACAGTGTATCCAGGGAAGAACCTTGATTGAGACATAAATTTGTTGCATGCACAGGAGTCAAGAGGTAGATGTGCATATACGCAAACACTTTTTGAGACTACTTGTCGTAAGGACATGATGTGCAGACGACAGGCATGTGATTGTGTGTGGTGGTGGACAGAGACGTACCTGGGGTGCCGATGTAGCGACCTTGGGGTCAGTGCCAAGTGTTCAAATGTTGCCCCGCCAGACGAGCCCCGCCATGGCCGCACGTCAGCTCCACGTCGGCGCGCGGGTGAATCGGTGTCCCCCACCAACGGAACTCCAACAAAACCAATAAGGTGCATGTGCTGGGACGGAATCGATCCTTTGGCAAAACCACTTCCCCCTCCAAGCCACCCAGGACGAAAAGAAAGAAAAAAAAATCGCGGGACCCCGATCCCCGCCCTTCCGACAAGCCACGATGCCCGCCCAGGAGTCCAAGCCCGTCGACCCCGCGACCCACGAGGCTGACGAGGCTCTCGAGACCATCGCCGACGCCAAGGCCAACCAGCCCGAGGTCGAGTCGGACGATGACGACGACGCTGCCGAAGACGAGACCCCCGCCGCCGAGGCCGGCGCCAGCGCGAGCGCGAGCAAGAAGAAGAAGAAGTCGAAGCGCAAGAAGATCAAGGATGCCCTCACCGGGAACAAGTCCTCGTCCGCCGACCCCGAGCAGGATATCAAGAAGGCCATCGGCGGTCTGACCCCGCAGCAGGTCCAGGAGCTCATGGCCCTGAACCCCGCGCTCGCCCAGGAGCTCGGCTCGGCCGCCGGCGCCGGGTCGACGCCCGAGCAGCAGGCCGCCGCGCTGCAAAAGCTCAACCTGCAGGACATCATGACGGGTCTGGCGTCGAGCGGCAAGAACGTCAAGGACATGGCCAGCTACAAGTTCTGGGGCACCCAGCCCGTGCCCAGGTTTGGCGAGAACGAGGGGCAGGTTGAGGAGGGCCCCCTGAAGCTCCAGAAGGTCGAGGACGTGCCCAAGGAGCCGCCCACGATGATCGCCGGGTTTGAGTGGGTGACGATGGACCTGGAGAACGACGACGAGATGAAGGAGGTGTATGAGCTGTTGAACGGCCACTACGTCGAGGACGACGAGGCCATGTTCCGCTTCAACTACTCTACCTCCATCCTCAAATGGTATGTCACACTTTGTGCGCGCCCGGCCGTCAGGTCAGGGACCAAAGAAACGGACGAGACAAACATGCTGACATGCTCAGGGCGTTGATGGCGCCCGGCTGGCGCAAGGAGTGGCACGTTGGCGTCCGCGCGTCGCAGTCCCGCAAGCTCGTTGCTTTCATCTCCGCCATCCCCGTCAACCTGCGCGTGCGCAAGAACAACATTCTCTGCTCCGAGGTCAACTTCATCTGCGTGCACAAGAAGCTCCGCGGCAAGCGTCTCGCGCCCGTCCTCATCAAGGAGATCACGAGGCGCAGCAACGAGCGCGAGATCTGGCAGGGCCTGTACACGGCCGGCGTCGTTCTGCCGACCCCCGTCAGCACGTGCCGCTACTACCACCGCGCGATCAACTGGCAGAAGCTGTATGAGGTCGGCTTCAGCCCCCTGCCGCCCAACAGCAAGCCGCAGTACCAGATTCGCAAGTATCAGCTCCCCGACAACACTTCTACCAAGGGCTTGCGGGAGATCCAGGAAAAGGATGTCGACGCCGCTCTTGACCTGTTGAAGCGCTACATGGGACGCTACGATCTGTGGCCCGAGTTTGATCGCGAGGAGTTTGTCCACTGGTTCATCCCCAAGAAGGAGGCGGCCAAGGAGCAGGTCATCTGGACCTACGTCGTCGAGGTAAGCCATTTCACCACTGCATGCTGAGAAGAAGCCGCGTGTCTGACTGAGAAACAGGACGAAAACAAGGAGATCACCGACATCTTCTCTTTTTACTGCCTCGAGTCGTCCGTCATCGGCAACACCAAGCACCAGAACGTCCGCGCCGCCTACATGTTCTACTACGCCAGCAAGGTCGGCCTCGCCGAGCCCTTTGACAAGGACGCCCTCAAGGTCCGCCTCAACTCGCTCGCCGCCGACGCTCTCGTCCTCGCCAAGAGGTTCAAGTTTGACGTCTTCAACGCCCTGTCCATCATGGACAACGGTCTCTTCCTCGAGCAGCAAAAGTTCGGACCCGGCGACGGACAGCTCCACTTCTACCTCTTCAACTACCGCGCCAACCCCATCAAGGGCGGCGTCGACGCCAGGAACCGTCTCGATGAGGACGGCCTCAGCGGCATCGGCCTGGCAATGCTGTAGACGGCTGATCATGCTATGCTAGAAGAACAAAATTTGGATTGCAGTACCCTTTCTTTGATGAACTTGATGAAGCAGAGGAGGCCAAACCGGCCAGGACATAGCGTGGATGTTATGCTAGTACAAAAGAACACAACAAGCATGTCCAGAAATCGTCTCCAAGTCGTCGCCGCCCATATCTGTCTTCGTTGTGAAACACTCGCCCTTCTGTCCCTTTTTATGTTTCGGATGTCTCGTTCAGCCTCTCCCCGACCGCCATCCGCTCCGCCATGAAATTCCGACACCACTCGACCCTCTCCATGACGGGGGCATGGCCCATGCCCTCGACGATGAGCGCCACCGACGGCTGCAGCCGCTCCATGAGCAGCTTGCCGAGGCGCAGGTCAATCATGTTGTCTCGATCGCCGTGCACGACGGCGATCCTCTCGCGACCAATGATGTCACCCAGCGCCTTGAGTTGCTGAGGCGACTTGTCGTGCCAGCCTGCGGCAACCAGCTGCATGAGGAACCCCTTGACGGAGAAGAGCCTCTTGTCGAGCCGCTTCGTGAGCTCCTGCGCCTGGAAGCGCTGGTAGTTGGACACAAAGGGGACGTAGCGATCGGCGCTGGGCGGGGGTCCACAGCGGGGCGTCGTGCCGGGGATGGGGACATCGGCGGCCTCGTCCGGGGCGATGAGCCAGTCGTTGGTGAAGAGGCGGTCGGCGGTCTCACGGATGGCCTGCTCGGCGGACTTGGGAACGAGGAGCGTGAGGCGCTCACGCAGGGTGGAGACGATGGTCTTGTTGGTCTCCATGGTCGCAGCCGTGCAGAAGAGGGTCCAGGAAGCGATGCGTTCCGGGATGAGAACGGCGAGCTCCTGCGAAATCATGCCGCCGAGAGAGATGGCCGTGATGTGGAGGGAGCGCGGGGCCGTCCAGCCAAGGTGGTCGATGACCTCGAGAACGTCGCGGGCCATCTGCGACGTAGTGTAGCGCTGCAGGGGGCTGTCCGAGAGGCCGATGCCGCGGTTGTCGATGAGGAGCACGGAGTTCTCAGTGCCGTGGTCGTGGCCAAAATATTTAGTTTGGCGCTGCCAGGATGTCGCGAGACCAGCAAGGCCCATGATGAGCTGGGAGTGTTAGCAAGGGCAAAGAAAAGAGACGAGGTGATGGGGCCTTGGGCGACGCACGATGATCTTGCGGGGTCCATCGCCGTGAACCTCCCATGAGATGTTGACCGGACCGCCGCGGTCTTTGGCGCAGGGGAGGAGGCCCTTCTTGTGAGGTTCAAGATTCCAGACAGCCCCAGGGTAGGCGGGGTGATTGGTCGTCTCCTCGGCGGAGGGAAAGGGGTTTCTGGACCGTGTCAGTATCTTGAAGCGCGGATATCAATGTCCCCCTGAGTATCTCACGATTCTGCCATTGTTTCTCGGGGTTTGCCTTCGGATGTGAACTCTGATAGTGCGCAATTGTCTTGAGAACGTGAGGCGGGTTTAACGATGACAGACAAAGATGCACGTGCAATAATGACAGGATATAAGCGCCAGAGAGAATCAGATAGGGCGATGAAGAACAACGGATTGGGATTCAATTGCTATCGCAAGAACTCTGTCGCCAGATTCTTTTTGTCTTCTCAGGTGTTGGTTGGACTGGTGCCGTTCATATATATTATTTGAGATTGGCAGCAGCCCGCGACAGACTGCAGGTGTGAGTGATGTTGGTTGGAGGGTACGACAGCAGCGGGATGGTGTTCACAGTGCTTTCCCCCTTTAGGCAGTGCCTCGGCTCGCTATTTCGACATGCGCTACTACTAGTCACAACGTTCGTAGGAGATCCTGTCCAGCAACTGCATGTAGGTAGCTTGATACATCTGCGCATCAAGATACACCACATAAAAGGAAAAAGTGAAAGCAATCTGGGCGATCAAAGTGCAACTTTCTATGCTGAGATCTTGCATGTAACCGGCGACAGCACAAGTACCTCGTAAGTACCTATTCTCTCGCGTTGTGCTGAGTGACATCACGTTGAGTGCTGGGGGAAGCAAGAGCCCAAAGCACAGTGCCAAGGGTAGCATTCACCGCCTGCCGTTTGGGGGAGCTTTTGGCTCCGTGCTGGCAGGAGCCACGGCGCAGCTCCTCAGCGTCGAGCTTGCCTCTTGGATATTCCTATCCAGACCATCCATCGCATCACAGCATCGAATCTGATCATTGACGATAACGCACCCTCGACGACCACCCACAACTTCAGGGCACTCCCTGCGAGATATCGACGCCACTTCACGAGACTGCTCTGTCGAACATGTCCTCCCGTAGATCCTGACGAGCAATATGTGGCATTTCGCGCCATCCTCCGACAGTCTTACGCGGCCGCGAATCGCCGTCGCCGTCGTTTCCGCCATCGCGGCCGCGTCTGTAGGCTACTATGCATGGCAGTCGCAGGGCGACTATGACAATGCTCTGATCGGCCAAGGGGTCCATCGGAGCAATGCCGTCCGACGCTCACGACGCTCCCGTCGGGCTTCCGCCTCCTCCTACGCCTCTCACACCGATGAGAATAATGCCCTTGAACCCGCCCAGGCCGCCAACGACGGGGACACACTTGTCGAGGAGTGGTGGAACGATCCAAACGTCATGCAGCCGCCGGCTCGCGCTGGTCACAACATTGTCAGCCTTCTCTTCCGCGTCTCCGAGGACAATGCCCGTCGCAACGCCTGTGTGCATCGAGGCTGCGCCTGCAATTCGTGCGGCATGGTACCCATCAGAGGCGTGAGATACCGGTGCGCGAACTGCGCCGACTTCGACCTCTGCGAGACGTGCGAATCCCAAGGCGTCCACATCAAGACTCACATATTCTACAAGATCAAGATCCCTGCCCCTCCCTTCGGTCCTCGTCAGATGCAGCCCGTCTGGTACGCTGGTGATCCAGACACCTGTATCAAGAATCTGCCGCGGGGCCTCATCAATAAGCTCAGCAAGGAGACCGGCTTTGAGCGACCCGAGATCGAGGCTTTCTGGGAGCAGTTCACCTTCATGGCCAACACGGAATGGAGGGAGGATCCTGATGGTCTGCAACTCGCCATGGATAAAAAAACGTTCGAACGATGCCTGGTCCCCTCGGGCGGATCGCGACACGCCACGCCCAATCTCATACATGACCGCATGTTCTCTTTCTACGACACGAACAACGACGACCTCATTGGCTTTGCTGAGTTCCTGCAAGGGCTAGCGTACCGAAAACGCCGCGACAAGCTGCGCAGGATATTTCAGGGCTACGACATTGACGGTGATGGGTTTGTCAACCGCCGCGACTTTCTACGCATGTTCCGCGCATATTACGTGCTGTACAAGCAGATGCACCGCGATATCCTCGACGGACTCGATGACCAGCTCATGGGCAGCCAGGAAGCCCAGCAACTTGTCACCAGTCGGCAGCCCCTGAGCAGTCTTTTTGGCCGTGAAGCACGTGTCCCCCGCGACAATCGTGATCTGACGGGCGAAGGCAAAGTCTTCCACCCTAACGGGGACGTGGAATTGGAAGAAGGAGAGTCCAGAGTCATTAATGCGGATCGAGGCGACACCTCGGCGAGGGAAGACGTCCTGACTCGCTTGTTCGCTGCCACAGACAACATGAATTTAGGCCACACATCGTGGCCTGCGCAGATAGGCTCGCCCGATAGTCAGCCATACTGGGATGCTCTTCTCGATCCACCACGTACCCTCGATGAGCTTCCCGCCCTCTTGATAGGTTCTCGACGCCATGAGGATGACGAGGATCCGGAGGAGGCCGAACTGACTAGTCCCGAGGAAGAGAGTGCTCCCGCCAATCGTTTGGACGGGGAAACCCTTGCCCAAGCAGGAGATGGCTTGCGAGTCGTCAACGGAGAAGACTCCTCCCCATCGAGAGTTGACCCAAGCCAGTACACGAGCGCAATACCGACCGAGAGCCAATTACGAGCCCGCTTCATGTCTGAACGAAGGCGACTGGGTTCTGCCGATCGGAGCCGTCGTGCGGAGACACGAAAGCTGCTCCACGAGCGGTGGAAGAGACGCAACTTCTACCTTGACGAAGAGGAGGGCGGCGCGGCGCCCGAAGGCTGGAACGAGGACGAGGACTTTCTTGCTAATCTCAACGGTGTTGCTGGCAGCTCAAAGGCGGTCCAGAACTCAGGGGCGGCACCACGGTCCAGATCGTCGTCCAAAGTGCGCTTCGCGGCAGATGGGGCAGAGCATGAATCTCAGTCCCATTGGTCCCAGTCAGCGCACAGCCTTGGGATCCCGGACGAGGAGCGGGATGCGGGCAAGGAGATCCTCTACCAGGTGACGCAGCAGGCTTTTAATGAGTTGCTGGACGCCATCTTCAAGAAAAAGGAAGAGCTTGCCTTTGAGGCTGCAGAAACACGAGCGTCCAGGAACAAGTATCGGTCACTGTTTGAGGACATTGACGCCGAAGAGCTTGACGACGTCGAAGAGCTTGATTACACCTCTGCTGAAGGCAGCCCCGTCATCCAAAAGAGACAACCTGATGGCCGGTCTCTGGACGAGCTGCTCCACGTCAGTGGCTACACGGTCGACACAGATCTGGTGCCCGAAGCGATGCTGAACGCTGAACATGCAGTGGACCCTGAAGCCAGGCCTGAACCTGCCAGCGAGGAACCAGCAGCAGGGTCCGTTGATGAGGCGAAAGACGCGGACGATGAGCCTGTTGAAGGACCCCGGGAGCCCCACCGGGACCCAACCATGCCCCAGTTCCGGCCGAACAGTGATGTCAAGCCCCACGATGACAAGGCCCAGACGGACGTTGCAACAGCGGCTGGCGCGTCTGGCAAACAAGTCGAATCGACACTGAACACAGCCAAGGGGTCTTTAGAACAGGTGGACGAAGAAGTTTCCCACGCTGTGCTGATCGGTTACAAGCGACTCGACGTGGCAGAAAAGGAGGCCGAGGAGCGTGGCGGCTGGGGCAAGCTGAGCTTCGAGGAGTTTGAGGACATTTACAAGAGCCACGAGATTGCCGGCAACCGGCTGGACTACCTGGGCAGCTGGGTTGATTTCTGCATTCCTTAGGGAAAACGGATGCACAAGTGTCGCCACAAGCGAGGCCGCGCTGGACGAGCCAGCGTCGAGAGCGAGGTCTCATTCGACAACACAACCTGTTGATGAGTCTCACAAACATGCCCGTCCCCTTCTTGGCCTGGCACCAATAACATAAGAGGCAAAGCGGTGAACACGATTTGACATTGAAGCCTAGCACCCCCGCGTCGAACACAGCATGGGAAAGCAGAGAGACTGCCGCCTGCAGAGAGGAAACAAGAGGAAATTACGGGTTCTACTGCCTCGAAGCAACAGGCTCAAAGCCCATTGTCGAGAATGGCAAGATGGGTGACGGTTTCAGAGTGGATCAGGCGAAGGGCTGGAAAAAACGAAAAAGGAAAGAGTGTCAAAGCTCGCGGGCCGGCGTGAGGAAGAGGCCAAATCACATATCAATAGCGCGTGCCACAGGCGGATCATCTGTCCCGCTTGGGGACGGAGAGGGGTTCATCCAAGACTTGGGTAAACAGTGGAGGACAACAAGGCGGAGCAGAAATGTCTCTGAAACGCCTAGGCCGTTGGTGTATCATTTTTGTAGGATTGCAGTCGTCGGGTAGAGAAACAGCGAGAGATATCTTCATTGTCGAGGGTTGCAAGCTCGTTTACGGTGTTTGTGTGTATAACAGGACTAGACGAGGGCCTTTTTGATTCCATTCACCAGTCGAGGTATCTGACCGACGGTAGCAAAAGGTTGGCAGGAAGTGAGCATGATGGGAAAAGGGCATATTGGTCCTCAAAACAATGGGCCTGTCGTGTGTAAGGTGGTCTCGCCACTCTCGTACTACCACTGGAACTTGGCCGCAGCAGAACGAATAGGACAAGGCGGTGGACTGATGAAGTCTGACAGCGCAACCACCCCACTCATACCAGACAAATGCCAACTAGAAGGGGACGCCGGGGAGACCCCCCTCAGCGCCCCCGCGCCCCCCAATCGGAACAAAGGCTGCGACATTAGCGGGTTCACCAGAGGCGGGGTCTCGAGACGGTTGCCAATGACGTGAGAACCCGAGCACTGTGCACCAACTCGGCGCTGTTCGAGCTCGCCCCAGGGAAGGTGCCCAGGGGACTCGTCCCCTGATCGAGGTGCCTACCTGCCTGGGCACCAGGTACCTGCCTGGCATTGCCTGGGTACCAGGTAGCTTGGGGTAGGTAGGTACCTGCCTGGGCGAGGCAGGTGGGTCGGCTCTTGGCAGAAGGAGGAACGAGGTGACGTTCGGTGTGGGTGCAGGGACTTTTCAGGGTCTTATCCGCGCCCCACCAGGCTCCTTGGAATCGACTTTCGAGACTTTCCCATCTTGCTGATGCTTGTTCCTGTCGGCTTCCTTCTGTGTTTCGCCACCAACACAGACCCATGGAGATGAGGAGGTTGAGTTTTCCCCATCCGACACTTGCTGCGCAACACATCATCACCATCACGATATAGCCTGCACGACTCGCCCTTTTTCTTCCGTGTATAGGCCAAACAACACTTTCCCCATATTCAACCCCGCGTCATCCCAAGCATCTACTTACCTTGAGTACCTACCTCACCCTGCCTCTCCCGTTGGCGAAGGTACCGAAGGTACACCTACCTACCTACCCTGCTGAGGGTACCTGATCGACAACAACTTGAATGACTCTGCCAGTCGTCCGCCGCCGAAGCTGCCACTCCCAAGCAGCCACCATTTCTCCCCCGAACCGGTCACCGCGGCCTCCACGGAGCCATGATGGCGGCATAGGGACGAGCCACCGCTTCTGGCTCGCCGACCTCAAGGCCAACGAGGCCGCTCTCGCTCTCGAGCCCTTCCGCGCCGGCGCCTCCTACTCGCCCTCCCCCTCGAGCACCTCGTCGGCCGATCCCCCGCAAGCCCGCGTCGCGAGCCCCAGCGCCGACCTGCACTACCGCGCCGCCGAGCTCGCCAGCATCACCGAGCGCTTTCGCGAGCCAGCCGCCGTGCCCAGCGCCGCGCGCCGCAGCCCGACGCCCGCTGACCTCCTCGCCATGTCGCGCCTGTCGAGGGACATTGTCAATAGCCTGGCTGAGGTCGCGAGGCATCACCGTCGGCAGGATGGGCGGGGGTCGACCATCACGGCGCCGTCGAGGAGTGACCTCGAGAAGCTGGGCGGCTTGAGCGGCTTTCGAAAGGTGCGTTTTTCTTCTCCGTTTTTGTTTTTTCTCTTCTTGTTCTCTCTCTCTCTCTCTTTTCCTTTTCTTTTTGTTCTCTCTCTTTCTTTTCCTCCCTCTTTCCTCCTACTCACTCTACAAACGCCTTACAGAGAGCTGACCTCCTATAGAGAAAGGCGAACTCCGCCTTGTGCCAAGAGTGCGGCACCGCCATCTCGCCGCAGTGGAGGCGTGGCCCGGACGGCGCGGACACGCTCTGCAACGTCTGCGGGCTGCTGTACGCGAGGCGGATGAGGCGGCAGAAGCTCGCTTGGCAACGTGGGCCTTCGCCAGATCTTGTGCGTTGAGGAGTCGTTGAGAGATGCGTAGTGGTGACGAGACTGGTGCACGACGTTTTTCTTCTTCTCCTGCTTCTTCTTCCCTCCTGGCTTGTTGAGGCGAGGCCTTCCCGGTTTCTTTCTTCTCTGGTTCTTTTCTTTTCATGCTTCTTCCTGGACGGCAAGCAGTGTACGACTGGCGGCGTCCGCTGTGTTTCTTCGGCGTTTTCGGACTGATGGGAGATACCCCGGGTCACTGGACCCATGCTGCTTGTACAGGATTATATGAGGTTTGTACGTAGCGGTTCATCTACTCTTTTTGAATACATTGTGCTTGAGATTGCGCTCGGGCCTTGCTCGCTTGAATTTGAACCTCCATCAGTACAGAACCTATTCCACGTAGAAGAAGCAATGACTGCGTCTACATCAACATAGTTCCCAAGAGAGAGCAGTTCGCCGTGGCCATGGCAGAAACTCTGCGTGATTCGTTTATCCAAATTCATAGCTCACAGGCTAAAGGTGTACGCAAGCAGCCACGAAGGCAGCAGAACGTCTGTATCCAATCAATGGCCAAAAGTGTCGCCCAAGCACCAGCACCAGCTTCGCAACAAGCTCTGACCCCTTACGGCCACCTTCAACATGCGTTTTCGAGAGACAAACACGGGCAGAATCGGGCATCTCTCCTGATTGGCTGATCTGCAGCCTGTTCCCCTTGGAGGCTGCAGTCCTGTGGTCAAAAGCTACATAGATCTGCCCACACGGCGATGGTGGCGGCTTCGATACCAGACCCTATACAGCCGAGTAGCAACCTCCACACCATGGCCCTGCATGATGTGCGCGGCGACGGCAGCCAAACATGCCCTGGAAACCATTGTCAAGAGCCGGCACGTCGTTCAATCGAGCGGCAGCACTTTATTTGTTTCTGCCCCCGCGAGGACTGGCCGTCTCCTGGACCCATCGGGGGCCTGAAAGGGGTGCCGCGGGGCACGACGCTCCGCCCTGCTCGGAAGGGCCCCCGCAACGGGAATCGCGACCAAGACGGGAATCGCGACCAAAGCCGATGGGATGATCCCTTGGCCTGTTTGCTCTTTGTTGCTCGTCGAGACGATGGGTCGAAGAAGGAGAACGCGAGAAGACGCAAGCTCGTGGACTTGCTTGAACAGAATCGTCGAGAGAGCAGACCGTGAGCAAACATCGCCGCCTCCCAACACTGACGTCAACGTCATCAAGCCCGAAATCCAGAAGACATCCCAGGATGCAGCCCGGCGCTCGGTACCGATCTTTGACGGAAAAGTCCACGATGGTGCCAAGATTGCCAGAGACGACAAGCTTTAGTTTTCCGACGCCAATGCAGCTACCCCGGTTCTTGGTCTCTTCCCCGGACTGGCCTGAGCCTCACGCAGCGGGTAGAACGGCCCAGGCTCAGCTGATAGTGCTCTCCTCTCGTGAATAACGGCTTACCTAGGCGATCAGGATCGTTCGGAATTATATGCTTCTGGGGGCATGGAACGACTGGGTCCGGCGTGGCGTGGCTATACGGCATCCTCGTCTCTCAGTAGCTCACGAGGATCGAGTATAAAGTATGACTTGAATCGTTGCGTCGATAGGACCTCGTCGTTGCTCTTCACCATCGACAGCTTCTCCTTCTGCCAGTCATCATGAAGTCCTTCGTAGCCGGAGCCCTCGCTCTTGCGGGTGCCGCGTCCGCCCAGCAGAGCGCCTGGGGCCAGTGTGGTGGCCAGGGATGGACCGGCCAGACGACCTGTGCTGCGGGTTCGACTTGCGTGGTGCAGAACCCCTGGTACTCGCAGTGCCTGCCGGGTGAGTTACACTCGACTTGAATACGGGACGTTACCTGTACTGACCAGATACCAGGCACCGCCGCTCCTCCTCCGGCCAACCCGACGACGACCTCGACGCGGGCCACGACGACTCTCGTCACATCGACGACGCGTGCCGCGCCCCCCCCGGCCACGACGACGGCGGCCGCGCCCCCCACCACCGGTGGCGCCTACGTCAAGACCAACGGCCTGCTCTTCAACATTGACGGCGTGTCCAAGTACTTCCCCGGCACCAACTGCTACTGGTGCTCGGTCGGCGGGCTCTCCAACGCCGACACGGACCTCGTGTTCAACAACCTCAAGGCGAACGGCCTCAAGATCCTCCGCGTCTGGGGCTTCAACGACGTCAACTCGATCCCGGGCTCCAACACGGTCTGGTTCCAGAACCACGCGGCCTCGGGCTCGACGATCAACACGGGCGCCAACGGCCTGCAGCGCCTCGACTACGTCGTCCAGGCGGCCGAGCGCACGGGCGTCAAGCTCATCATCAACTTTGTCAACAACTGGGACGACTACGGCGGCATCAAGGCCTACACCAACGCCTACGGCGGCACCCACCAGACCTGGTACACCAACACGGCCGCCCAGGCCCAGTACCGCCGCTTCGTCCAGGCCGTCGTCAGCCGCTACACGACGAGCAAGGCCATCTTCGCCTGGGAGCTCGCCAACGAGCCCCGCTGCAACGGCTGCAACACGGACGTCATCTTCAACTGGGCCAAGAGCGCCTCCGAGTACGTCAAGAGCCTCGACCCCAACCATCTCGTGACGCTCGGCGACGAGGGCCTCGGCATCGCCGGCGACTCGAGCTACCCCTACCAGTTTGGCGAGGGCACCGACTTTGCCAAGAACCTCGCCATCAACACGCTCGACTTTGGCACCTTCCACCTCTACCCCGGATCCTGTACGTCCCTTTCCCCTCATAGGCCCTAGGTCGGAGAACCGGGGACAGCTAGGTAGACTAACAGCGCAACAGGGGGCGTCTCGTACGACTGGGGCAACAAGTGGATCAAGGACCACGCCGCCGCCTGTGTCGCGGCCGGCAAGCCCTGCTTCTTCGAAGAATGTAAGAGAGAAAAAGACTTGCACCTTTGGTCCGAGAGAGAACAGCAATGCTGACGAGATGAATGACAGACGGCGCGCCCAACAACCATTGCGCCATCGAGCGTCCCTGGCAGCTGACCTCCGTGGCGACGCCCGGCATGGCCGCCGATGCCTTCTGGCAGCTTGGTGACACGCTGAGCTACGGCAAGTCGCACGATGACGGCAACACCATCTACACCAACACGGACGACTGGACGTGCCTTGTCACGAACCACGTCGCCGCGCTTGGTTAAGGAAGGGAAGCAGACGGTGGTAGCAGGAAGGGAAAGGAGTGTGGTTCTGGCTCGACCTGGTGGACAGAGCGCGAAGCAATCAGCCCAGTCAGATAGGACACCGGATAAATTGAAGTGTCGCCCTGTCATAAGACGATTGTAGAGTCACCCTGTACAAATGAAGAAGCGGCGTCAATGATGAAGGATGAAATCACCGTGGCCCTTGACGCTCACTTGCTTATCTTATCGCCAACGACGTCACCAGATAAAATGGCTTACCTAATGTCCGAATCATCGTCAAAAGCATCCCAAGTCTTTCCCACCAGACATCCCAAGTCCCCTCTCCAGTACCTGACCCGAATCGCATTGCCCCCAGAAAAAGATGGGCTCATCTTCGTCCAAAGCCGCCTCAGGCGCCGCGCGGAAATTCCCAACCCGCTCGCCAGGCGCCGCCGTGCCTCCAGCCGCAGCCCGCCAGCCCCGAAGCGCACCGCCAAGGCCGCAAGCCTCAACCACCAAAGACGAAGGTAAAGTCGCCACGGTCTCCGTCGGCCCCGCTCCCTTTTCCCGTCCCGCGAGGCAGCGAGAAAAGACGCCAGGAACGCGATACTGAACAGCCGTAGCCATCCGCGCCGACGCCGCAGACCCCGAGGTGACAGCCGACTTCTCGGCGCGCCTGCACCAGATGGGCATCGCCCAGCCCAACCCGACCTACAGCCCCTCGTCGCACGCGCGCCCCGCGCCGGCGTCGTCGCCCTCGGACGCGCACGCACCCCCGAGCGGCGGCACGGGACCGCTCTTCCCCTCGGCGCGGAACAACTCGACCCTCGGCGCGCTCGAGGCGCGGCGTCTCGCGGAGGTGGCGGCGCGGTCTGAGTTTGAGGCGCTCGGCAGGAAGGGATTCCAGGGACGCGAGTTTCTCGACCTCAATACGATTGTGCAGATGCATGTTCTGCGCGACCGCGGCGTTGCGGACCGGGAGATTGAAGAGAGGTTCAACCTGAAGCAGGGCGTTGTCGCGAGGCTGGGGACGAGGGGCATCACGGTTCCTGCGAGCATGGCCGAGGCCGAGGCGTGATGGCCGTTATCACGACACGCATGTAGGTATCTGGGTGAGAGACTGTACATCATTAGGCGTTACTATGGAATTGTATACCATGTACGAATACGAGAAAGTGAAGAAACAAAAATACCGGGGATTCGCGAGGGAAAGACGGAGAAGGAAAAGACAATGCCCGAAACCCCAAGCCCTGACGCTCCCAAGCGCCGTGATGAAGACTCGCTTGCAAATCCAGATGGACACACCTGCCACCTAAGCTACCACGCCGCGTGACCACCGTCCATCCGCAGATCGGCGCCCGTCATGAAGCTGCTGGCGTCGCTGAGCAGGAAAACGGCGGCACCGCGGTACTCCTCGGGGGCGCTGAGGCGGCCGAGCATGTTGTGCTTGGGCCACTCGTCGCGGCGCTCGGGGTACGTCTCGAAAAGGGCCTCAACCATGGCGGTGACGATGTAGCCTGGGGAAATGGTGTTGACGCGGATGTTGTGCTCACCCCACTCGGACGCGAGGTTGCGGGCGAGCTGGATGACGGCAGCCTTGGAGGCATTGTAGGCGCTGGAACATGGTCAGTACGCTGTCTGTCTGGGCATGGATGAGACGGGGTTTTGTGCAGGGGCAGGAACGTACGGGCAGATGAGACCGCGGTTGGCGACGGTACCGCTCATGCTGGCAATGAGGACGATGCTGCCTTTGCAGCGCAGGCGGACCATTTGGCGGGCGACGGCCTGGGCCGTCATGAAGACGCCGGTGACGTTGACGCCCATCATGCGATCGACATCTTCGGCCTTGTACTCGAGAGCGGGCGTCTCCTGCTGGATACCGGCGGCGGCGATGAGGCCATCGACGCGGCCATGCTCGTTGGCGATGCTCTCGATGAGGGCATTGAGATTGTCGACATCACGAACGTCGGCGCGGTGGTACGTCAACGTGGTGCCCAGCTCGCTCTTGGCGCGGTTGGCAACCTTGTGAAAGTACGAGTCGGGCTCAGGCAGACGGTCAATGGCATGAACTGAAGCAATTAGTAGGAGCTCCGTATGGCCGCCGTTGAGAAGCTGGTTAGGTACGCACCAATCGCGCCGGCCTCGAGGAGGGCTTCTGCTTGGGTCAGACCAAGGCCTCGTGCAGCGCCAGAGACGATGATGACCTTGTCCTGGAGGCTGAACTCGGGTAGCCGAGTAGGCTGGTGAGAAACGGAACCCATTGCGGTCGATTGGAGAGGCGTGAGGGACTGGTGAAAGGGCCGAGCCGCTCGAGCAGAGGCAAATGGAGTCTTGATGATGCGCTGGGGTGCTATGACAAGTGCGGGGGTCTGTACACGAAGCAGTCGCGATGGTAGTCCGGCGTAAGGTAGTAGATGGCGAGACATGATGGCAGATGAACACAGCAGAAGGCGAATTTATAATGGAAAGGGATATTGCGAGAAGAGGTGTAGACTGGTTGGTCAGGTGTGTCGACGATGCTCTCTGCTTTGTTCAGGTTGTGTTGCGCTGGTGAGGCGGTAGAGGGGAAGGAAGGTCGGAGCTTCCGTGAGCGTCTAGGTCGACGAAGTGTTCCATGCCGTGCCACCTTGGCCGGGACAGCTCATCTGAGCTTCCCGATCAGCATTCACTAAGGTAAGGCGTGCCAAGATTGGGCATGGTGACCTGAGCTCGAGCTGTCTTGTGTCGCTAGCAGCTAGGGCTCCCGCGACGTCCGGCGGCCGGCGGTCTATGTGGCGGGCGACGTCGTGGGGGCTAGGTTTCGATTCTGTAGAGCTACGAGCATTTGCTAGGTCGGAGGCGTTCAGGCAAAGTACCCTGTCGTACCTCCAGCAGACCGAAAGGGGCGACAAAGCTTATGTGTACACGGGTGAAGTGCTCCTGGTGCGTGGTTCTGGGGGCGCATTGGCGCTTGCGCATGCCTATGGAGATGGAACTTGAATCTTGGAACCTAACTTAGGTAGGCTGGGGGATTCTCCGTAGCCAGTGACAAGCCATGGTTTGTATTGCTGATGGTGCAAGAGATCGCAGCTCTTTTCCGGATCGGAGAGGCCGTGTTGTCATGAGCACACGTGCTGAGGAAAGGATGATGTACTCCATCGTCAGGCCTCTTGGACAGCGAATCCTTTCGAGAGTTGCTTTCCTGATGCGAGCCTGATGTGTACCTCATTGCTGCTCGGTGGAACTGGTGTTCTCGCAGGACCTGAGGTAGTGTACCAGACACTGATGGCTGCAAGCAGCATGGTTCTGCTAGGGGCGTGATCAGCGGTTACCACAAGAGACGGCCAACAGTTCGAGAGCAGCCCCAAACAAAAGCGGATCCTGCACTCAGGGTCTCGCCTTGTGAAGCGCAAGCTCATGTTTCCAATTGTGGAAAATTCTGCTGTCGATTCAGTGAAAGACGAGCCGAAGATGGAGAAGTCAATTCTGCTGTTCAAGATTGATCAATGTGACATGGAGAACATCAGAGGAATGGTGAACCAAGTGGCCGAGACCGCTCCAGTGGGGCTTCGTGTTACAGCGGCAGCACCAACGGGTGTGCTGTGCGGGGTTCCTTCCCCGCGTGCTGCGGTGGAGCACCACCACTGCACCACTGGAGATCACTGTAAGAATTCGGAAATACAGGGGACCCCCCCACTGACTGCCCCAGGTTCCACCGGCTTTCCCAATCTGGACTTCCGCAACATGGTACTCTGCCTTTGCCCAAACCCTCCCCAGTCTCTTCCCATCTCAACAAACCTCTGTCGCCCAAGTCCAAGCTCGGCATCCCGATCATGATCCACCGCCTCCACCTTCCGTCCGCTGTTCTGGGCTCGCTGACGGTCTCGAACGTCTTTCCTGACGCGTCTTCATGTCTCTTCACACCTCATGACTACTCGCAGCACGCCTCGATGATCTGATCTTTGCCTGATACAGCACCACTTCGAACCCAGTACTCTGTCACGTCAAGCTGTCTGCGGCCGGTTTCCCCTGTCGCGCAATCCACCTCTGGACCAGCCAGAACGCCCGCAGATACGATATCCCCACCCCGAAGCTCTCGAATCCGATCGAGAGCCCCGCCACCGCCATCTTCCGCCGGATGAACCTCCCCCTGGTATCTTGCTTGGTGCTCGGCGCCGCCACGAGCATGATCCAGAGGAAGATTCCCGGTATGTCCTTCCATCGCGTAAGGTTGACCCCCCTTATGGCCTTGTAAGCCCGCTCTAGCGTCTTGTCGTCCTTGAACTGCGATATCTGGGCCATCGACGAGATGGACCAGCTGTAGATCAGCCCGGCCAGCCGCAACGCCTCTTCGATACGCTCGGCCTCGGATTCCATATCAGCAACATCCGCCACCTCCGCGTCCTGCTCACTTCGGCCGCTCTCTCTGCCTGAAACTTTGCTGAGCCGGCTGTAAATCCACGAGGCTGTGCTCTGGATCTTGCGAATACTGGCGGGTCCGCCGTCGGCCTCTGTGATTGAAGTAGTCAAGAAGCGGACATCATCCAGGATCCTAGCTCCAGCTCTTGTTAATCCCAGCTTATCCTTAACGTCATCAAACGAAACATTCGATCTGATCAGTGGACAGTCAAATCCGTCTGGCCACGACGTTGGAATGGGGATCTCCTCCAGCAATACTGGATCGTTGCTCTGGAGGTAGAGTTCCGTCTCGAAGCAGCACGATATTTCGTAATCGGTCCTGTCCTTGTCGTTAGTCAGTCTGTCTCGACTCTGAGAAAGGTCATGCCACATACAAGATGATGATGGACTCTCCCACAATGTCTTTGATACCCCGCAAGCCGCTCCGAAGGTTAATCATGTGCTTCATGCCCCTTAGATGCGCCCACATGCTGTCATCGGCGCCCCAAAACCACTATACGGCAAGATCAGTATTCCAGCTATACATCGTGAGGGCTTACTCAAAGTTCCTACCTCCATGACGCAAAGGTTGATGACCGAACGGATGACCTCCTGGGCGACCGAGCCAAAGTCACCCTTGAGCATCTCATTGATGCCAGTGAGGACCCTGGCTTTGATCGCCAGCGACTCGGAGTTGCGTGTCACCTCGACACCCTTCTCAAGCGATTGCGTAGTTGACGCCATGAGCATGCCGATGCTAGGAAATAAGGGCGACTGCAACATCCATGGCAGAACTTCTGTCAGGAACACTTTGGGCTGGCTTTGCCCGTCGATGGACACAAGATTTGGCGCAACAATCTGGACATCTTGCCCGTGTGTTAGACTTATGCCCAACCATTGGCATGGTTTCACTCACAGAAATGCAAGAGCTCCGAGTGCCTGGCACTCTGCTTGATTCGCAATCCATTGAGAGTGCACACCTCAGTCAAGATGCCTCCGAAGGGTCGGATATGGACCATGGCATCTGGGTCGCCTGTCCCGTCGAGATAGAGATTCTCCGAGTGCTGTTCCGATGATCTCCCAACGATAGCCCTCTCGTCACATGCATCATCCGTTGAGCCATCAGTACTATCGTGCCAAGCAATGATCCTTGCCCTGGTTTTCGCCATGGGTGTCACGCGCCTGGTTCGAATAACGCTTGTGCCTGCCGGGACATAATTGACGTGCCGACCACCAGCCGAAGAGACTATGCTCACCGGGACCCCGAGACTGACGACTTGCTCTTCGTACTCGGGGGCTCGACTTTCGCCGTCCGGGGCATCAATACGGAGAACAGTGCACTCCACAGGCGGGAACCGGCGCGAGCAATTGGCGCACGGCACGCCGTCATTCCGAATGATGCACTGCCACCGCGCCGTCAGCTTTTCCGTTCTCTGTGTATCACGAGCAACTAGACCGGACCCCCGGTCTCCCCGCCGGAACTCGGCGCCGGCCCGGCAATGATATCACACACGTACCTTCTGCTTTCGCCTTTGACACTCGGTGCACGATTTTTGCACTCGGGGCCGTCGCTTTGGGGCCAAGGATGATTCTGCCATGATCGTTCCCTGTGGTCGTTACGTGTACAGGCTTCTTTTGCTTGCGATGGTGAGGATGAGCTCATCGATGGGTTCAAAAGAGCTGGGCTGTGCGAGGTTTATCCATGGCCATTGCCCATGTCGCTGCCATGTTCAGCTCGGGCGCCACCCGGTCATGGGCCCTGGATATTTGCATCGTGGAGTCGCCAATCGGGGACCCGGCGAGACCGAGTCAGGAACCGCTCCGTGTTCTGAAGATGATGCTCGGTTTGGTGCATGAGCTGAAGGGTTGATGTCCTTCCAGGTCTAATCTCTGCCGGGTTCAGCTTGCCCTTTCAGCTCTGTCTCGCGCTACAAAGAGAGATGGAATTTGCCGTTGATGATCGAACGCCCGGTGGGGGGAGGGGAAGGGATCAGCCGCCCCAGGCGTTGGAGAAAACCAGGTTTTCGCTACCTTTTGTTCTTGTTCGCCCCAGGTCTGACGGTTAGGTTAGCTTCACCGTTTGGAGTTCCAGGAGCGTGGTCACCGGAACATGTTCAGAGACATCCAGGGGCCGGCAACCATAAAAGCGCCACATCATGCACGTCGCATCTTGTCAAATCCCAGCCAACCGGTTTCGTATTTGGGTGTATAGTCTATTAGTACAGAGAAAAAGTCTAATGCAGAGGAACGAATCGCAGGAGCCAGCGCAAGCAATGAAGAATGAACGTAAGAAAACGAAACGCAACGGGCAACCGAGATAAGAGAGAGGTCAATGTAGAATGAATGGAAAGACACCCCAGCGTGGGCGGGAAAGCAAGAATAGATTGAACCACATGGCCGAGCATGATTCATGTCCAGCTCCAGGCAGCATCAGCAATGGCTTCAGCTCGAGGCCTTCTTCTTGCCCTTGGGCATGCGGACGAGCCAGTAGAGAGCCAGCGACGCGGCAATGTTGAAAGCGATGTACACCATGCCGATGCCAAAGTCGCGCCATCGATTGTCATATGACGCGCTGACGGCGTCGAGGAAGACATTCGTGTCGGCGATGGGGCAGTAGTTGCAGTTCGACTGGGCAGAGGGGTCCGTGAGGTAGCCGCCCGCAGAGCTGATGTAGTCACTCAGGTAGGCGCCGCACGTCTGGTTGCTCGGCGGGTCAAAGCTGACGAGCTCGACGTCGGAGCAGGTGACGCGCGTGTTGGCGAGACCCGTCGACAGCATGGCCGACACGAGATAGGAGAAGGGCGAGACGCGGTACATGAAGATCCAGAAGCGGGGCATGGCGTCAGGCGAGGCCAGGACACCGCAGAAGATGAGGCACATCATGAAGAGCACGTTGGCCAGGTTGCCGCCCGCCTCGGCCGTGTCCGTGATGGCGATGCAGGCGTGCGCGAACGTGCAGGTGAAGATGAGGAACTGCCAGAAGAGCAGCCACATGAGGCCGCCGCGCTCCGTCGTCTGGCCGGCCGCCTCGGCGTTCTTGTACAGGCCGACGGGGTAGTAGACGCAGATGAACATGAAGACGGACATGAGCGAGTTCCAGGGGATCTCGACGATAATCTGGGAGAGCATAAACACCTTCCAGCTGTACGTCTTGGACGGCCGTTCCCTGACTTCGTAGAGCGAGCGCTGCGTGACAAAGTGCGGCATCTGTTGCTGGACGAGCTGGCCGAAAATGGTCAAGATGTTGAAGATAGCGAACATTTGGTTCTGCAATCCCTGCATACTCAGTGGGGCGTTGAGGAACACGAGACCAATGAATAGGGCCACGGAGCAGCAGAGAATGAACTTGGAGTAGATGTAAGAGGGGGTTCTCCAGTACTGCTCGAAGACGCGGCGCGTGACGATGAGCAGCTGGCTCCACAGAGGCGAAGCAAACTCGCGGAACGAAGCTTTGTCGTCTGCCCGGGAGGCCTTGTCAGTGGCAGTAGGGGTCGCGTTCGCCTTGAGACGTTCGAGTTCATGGGAGACGTCCTGGTATTCGGGGCTGTCACGCCAGGCCTGGTGCCAGTCGACGTTCGTCTCAGATCCGGGTGCGGCGCCAATAGCAGAGAGCATCCATTCTGCTGGGTTCTCGCCGGGGGGGCAGGCTTCAGCACCGTTGCGCTCAAAGTAGTTTGTGAGGGTCTTTGAGTTCTCTCCGATATCACCGAAATAGACGGTCCTACCACCCTTGGCGAGGAATAGCAATCTATCGAACCGTTGGAAAAGCATGGCCGAGGGCTGATGGATCGTACACAAGATAGACTGGCCAGCCTTGGACAGCTTTTCCAGTAGGTCAAGAATAGCCCATGATGTTTGAGAGTCGAGACCTGATGTGGGCTCATCGACGAAGAGCAGGAGAGGTGGCTTCGCAGCGAGTTCGACTCCGATGGTCAGACGCTTCCGCTGTTCAACGTTGAGGCCCTCGCCTAGCACGCCGACCACAGCGCCCTCATATTCCTGCATATCGAGAAGCTTGATGACTTCGTCCACGTAGGCAAGCTTCTCGGCGCGCGGCGTCGACTCAGGCTGGCGCAGAAGAGCGCTGAACTCCAGGGCTTCACGGACAGTGGTGGTTTCGAGATGGAGGTCCTGCTGCTGAACGTAGCCCGTCTTGCGCTGGAACGACTGGTCGCGAATCTTGCCATCAACGAGCATCTCGCCAGTGATCACGCCCATGGACACACGATCAGCGAGGCAGTCGAGAAGCGTCGTCTTTCCGGCGCCAGACACGCCCATGAGGGCCGTGAGGGTACCGGGCTTGACCCATCCGTCAACGTGGTCTAGAATCCTTCGAGGTTCGCCCTTGATCTTGATGTCATAACAGACATTGTTCCAGTGGAACACGCTTGTGGAAGCCTGAATAACGCCGTCGGTGGACTTGCCGTTGGGCTTCTCGGTAACGGGGAGCGGACCGGAAAGGGCTCCTTCGACGTCGTCCTGGCCCTTGGCTGTGGTGGGAAGAGCGCCGCGGCGGAAAACAAGGACTTCACCCTTGGACTTCTTGGCCGAGATGTACTCCGAAGCGACAAAATAGAGAACGTGGAAGGCGATGGCAAAGCCAATGAGGATACCGACGTTCCTCCACTTGTGGCTGTGGTTGTACTTGTAGGCCGCCTGGATATACGTGTCGCCGTTGACCACATCAGACCCAGCTACGGAGCCGACTGCGGAACAAGCCCTGTTGGTGGACGAGATGTCCTCGTAGCCCGCGACAGCGGAACTGGGCACAAAGGCGTTGCAGGTAAAGTCTCGGTTGTGGAACTCATTGATCATAAGGGCCTCGAAGCCGTAACCGACAGGATCAATGTAGTTGATCCAGCGGCACCATCCCAACATGTAGTCGACGGGAATAACGAAGCCAGTGAAGATGACGAGAGCCAGGATGAGGATGGAGGCGGGGACCATTGCCTGGGACAGGGTTCGAGAGAGCGAAGCGCTGTGTAATGGATTAGTGGATTGCTTTCCGCAAGACGATGCTCAGTTTGCGACTTACATGGAGCGGAAGATTCCGGACATTGTCAGGACCATCAGGAATGATACCAGCAGGAAGAAGAAGAAGGCACCCGGTTCGCGGTTGAGGTTTGTCATGAAGTAGATGACCAAATTGTAGACGATGCTGTTGGCGATCTTGTATGGCATATCCACCAGGACAGACGAGTAGGCCTCAGCGGATGCGTGATAGAATGCGTAGCGCACATGCTTGTCCACGATAGGTCGTTGGGCGTACTGAGTCAGAATTTCAAGAGCACTGGAGAAGGCGTTGGTTAAAATGGCAGTGAAGAGGACAACGCCACGGCTATAGAAGGCTGATGTCGTTTGCGGCATGTTGTAGAATAGAGAGGAAATAATCAGACCCATGATCGAATTGGCGAGGAGTTGGAACACGGTCAAGGACGGATCACCCAGGAGGCGCTGCCACCCACGCCACAGGCAAAGCTTGACCTGTTGAGGGTACGACAGAATGAAAGGAGACTTGAGTCGTTGGTTCTTGGACTGGACAGCAGACTTGATGTTGCGGAAGGCCTCTGCATCAACACCATCGACGGGGTGGACAGACTTGTACTCCTGGATCTGGACCTGTAGATCACGGAACGCCTGGCTGGCTTTCCAAGCCGCCGCAAAGTCGTCTGGGCTTCGAGGGACTCGAGACTCCCAGCCAGGGCGCACAACACGTTCCGAAGGAGCAGTCATAGATGTCAGGAAATCCGGAACTGTCTGGCGCGCTGGGCACTCGAATCCGAGGTTTTCGAAGTATTCCTTAGCCCGCTTCGTGGAGCCAAAGAAGATCTGCCTGCCTTCATACAGAACAGCAACCTTATCGAACAAGTCATAGGCGCTCTGGGGGGCCTGGTAGATTGACACGGCACACGTCTGACCGAAAAGTTCCGACTGCAGCCTCAGTGTCTTGCAGAATTCGACAGCATTAGCCGAATCGAGACCACGAGTTGAGTTATCCCAGCATTGCAAAGGAGCGTTCGAGAGAGTAGCCTCAGCGATGGACACACGCTTTCGCTCACCACCAGAAACGCCGCGAATGTATTCGTTACCTACGCGCGTGTTGATGGTGTGGCTGATTCCATACATGGCCATCACAACGTCGCGGAGGTGATCGGCGTACTGGTTGCGTGTGATGCCTGGCGGGAGGTTGTTGGGGCATCTGGCTCGGGAAGCAAAGGTGAGAGTGTGTCCGACAGACAGCTGAGGGAAATGGACGTCGACCTCAGCGGTGTAAATGGCGTCGCCCTTGTGATGCTTGTGCATTTCCCGGGCAGACATTCCTTGGTAGTTGAAGTAGGCCTGGTCGTCAACGTGAATGCCATTCAGTTCGCCTGCGATGGTCTTCAGGAATGTTGAACATCCTGAACCGGGAGGGCCCAAGACGACAAGCATCTCGCCCGCCTCAACGACACCGTCAAAGTCTTGCAGAATGTCGATACGTCGCTGGCCGCCGGTCTTTGACGTAAGCTTTTTGGCAAGCCCCGATACCTCGAGCCAGACATTGGAGACATCCTTTTGGTAGTCCGTCTCATTGCCGTAACCGAAGACGTTCATGTTTTGATAGCAAAATCCGGCCTGTCGGAATCCTGCGCCCTGCTCAGTGGTCATCTTGGCGAGGGTCTTCGCCCATGATCGCGCACTGAACTTTTCGCCACGGGGGTTGAGTTTCGAGTTGGGGTCATCGCTTCCGAAAAGGGTTTGCGGGTTCCCTTGGATGTCGACGATCGAGTGTTGAGTGTACTGCCGGGCAAGGTCTTGCACGATGGAGTGTCGACGTTCCATCTCAGTCTCATTTCCGGTGTCATCATCACTCGTCGATGTCGAGTCCCCAGAATCGCCTTTGCCTGCCTTCTTATCCTTCGATCCCAGATCCTGGCCGTCCAGGTATGACCTGCTGTTGTCCGAGGCGATGTGGTTTGCCACGTCGGCCTCGTTCACGTAGGTTTGCTGGCTTCCGTTGGGGGACCGAGGCGCTGCACCCAAAGCCTCACCACCCTGGGCTGCAGAGTACATGGTGAGCTGTGGATGGGGAAGACCCGTGAGATCAAAGGGTATTATTCGTTGCGTCTGCGTCTGAAAGATCACTGTTGTCAGATGGAGAATTTTTGGGATGAGCTCCACGTGACGTGGGCAGACTCAAACAGTGTCTGACAGCAAAGTGATCGTCCTCACCTAATCCTTTCGAGATTTGGTCCGTGTATCAGATAATAGTCTTCCGCCTTGGGCCTTTCTCTGAGAGATTGACGGGCGAGTTGGCCTGTGGAGGAAAGACTTGTCCAAAGTCAACGAGGGACGTGAAAAGGATGTCCCTCCCTTTTACAAATAGGGACGAACCAAAGTATGATGTAATGCAAGGGGCAATAGAAGAAATCTGATGAATTCGATCGTGTTTTTCTCAGGAGATAGCGGGATTCGTTGTCGTTCCGCTTCACAACCCCGGACGGTCTCCTGTTCGATCCCGCACGCGGCCTCCATGGAACGCAGTACACGACCGGGACAGCCGGGGCCAGGCACGGGCACGAGTCTATCAGCTAAGCCTTCTTCGGTCCAGGGGCCAACAACGAAAGAGAGAGAAAAAGACTCGGACTAACACGTATAACGGGGTTCATGGTGACGCATTGCAGTGAGGACCAATAGCGTATGAAACACACTGGGGGCGATGAAGGGGCTAATCACCGCACTGAGTCAACACCGAGCATCGACACTGGCCCTTGGACGCTTGTGACAGGCACAGCATCTCGGACCCGAACTCGAGCAGGGCGTAGAAGCATTTGCCGACCACAGTTCGCCCCACCAAAGAAGGGTCCAACGCGGGACGGGTTAGAAATCAGCCCTGTCCTCGGCCCCACACCCGGACCCGAACAAGACCCCGTGAGTCTTGGCATTTTTTCCCTGACCTCAACGCCCGCCCTTCCCTCTAGAGCCCTTGGCACTTCGGATTTCGAACAAATAGCCACTCATTCCCAGCACCTGCGACCTTTCTCGGACACGTTTGTCTTTCGTATACGTGCATATTACCTCAACCGGCGAATGTCTTGGCATCCCCAGCAGAGGGTCCTGGGTTAAGCACTAAAGGCCTCACCGCGCCATTCAACACCACACGTTCAACCTGAAAAAGTCGCCGGCTGCCTTCGCGAGCGCATCGTGGAGTAGGAATGTGTTTTCTTTTATCAAATTAGACGACCATCTCGTGCACCGAACATCCATTGAATCTCGGCATGCAATGTTCGGTCCAAATGCGACCATCAAGGAGTCCCACTCCTTACCTCGGGGCCGACAATTGATTTCAACTACAAAGCTGATCTGATTTGGTGCTGCACAAGGATCAAAAGCTCGGGCACGGACTATTCGGAGAATGCGCATGGGACGACAATCTAGTGCTTCGCAGTACAGCAACATGCCGATGGCTTGTGAGTCCGGGCCACGGAGTTGGGCACAAGCCCTGATTGCAGTGGAGCAAGCGGGCAGTCGGTGTAAATCGTGGGCCCGCTCTAACCAACGACGGGCTCGAAGACCTTCCTTTCCCTACGCTCTTGCGTCTTCGTGTAACGCTGAGTCGATAGTAATCAGGAACGCCAAACCACGTGTGGGCACCTGAACGCACCAGGTTCACGTTCAAAGCTCACATAAGCCCCAACGGAGCCCGTGGCGTTCAAGGTGCTCCATGGCAGACGGCAAGTGAGACCTGGTTAAATGATATGTCAGCTTGGGCGAGGTAGTACTTTGGTAGGGAGTGATGCTATTGCGTCTATTCATTTTGCATTGCAAGGAGTAGCTCCAAGCTCTTATCAAGATCTTGTAAGTAATAAATGAATACTCCATAGGGACTCTTGGTCTCTTCAGAGCCAAGAGAACCGAGCCTAAGACTTTTCCAGAGTGAAGTCGACCGTGGTTAGTTAGCCTTGTGTACAAGAGAGAGGCCTGTATAATTCTAGCCTGTGATCCGAGTATGGCGTTGGTGAACAGTACATCTTTGAGACGCTTCTAATTTGCAGCTTCACCGACATCCGATCAAAAACATCCCTCGAGGTGACTGATGAGCCTGGGACTTTGACAACGTACGCTCTGGGACTCTCGTCCGTCGACGATTATGCAAACCACCCGGCAGTCGACAATGTTGGTATGGGTGAATGGAATTGCCTCCAGCTCCATGGGTACAACTTGGAAGCTGTGCACCTTGAGGTTTTATTTTTTTCAATCTAGAATGTGACCGCTTCTGTTACGGGTCAGACCCTTCAGTGCAGAAGCCTGGGGCTCATACTCCTGTGGAGGCAGCTCAATCGACTACACCCGTTGATATGCGTGTTGTTTTGGCTCAATTGAATAGCTGAAGCCCATTGAAGCTTAGGGTCGTATAAGATCTAGAACTCATCCCTCTTAGGGCCAGTCCGTAGCAGTCACAAACTGGTCGCCAGAAGTGGACATGAGCAATATTGCCAGTTCTAGTCCAACTCGTTTTCTTCCCATTCGCTTTGCCTATATTCCCCCATGGTTATGGCGGCGTCCCTTCATAACAGTCCGACCGAAATGACCAAGTTTACCTTGCTGATTGGCGTGCGTGATCGCTTGGGACTGGTTCATCAACTTTGTGACTGAAATGGGCGCTGCTTCTCTTAGAAAGGCGGGCAAGATCGATACGCCAAATCATTCATGTCGCTGATACACGCCCGTTGTATTGTCCCCCCAGCCATGACGAACAACAGCCCAATCGCCCGCCAAGAGCTCTCCTGTCATTCGTGATAGAAAAGGAGTCAAATGTGCAGTTCCATAAATGGCAGTGCTGACACTTGATGTTTTATTTGGCGCGTGCCGAGATCCCAGTAAGGGCTGGAATGATTGGTGGAGAAGCGATGAAGCCCGTGTTTAGATTTTCTGAACGTGTTGCGTCATCATGTCATGATCATATCGTGCCGTTATATGCCTTCAAACCCGCATCTTCAAAGTCGTTTGTATTTGTCGGGTGGCCCTGCGGAGCCACCGAATACGGAGGCTGGTGAGGGACTAAGGATCGCGAGGACGTGGACATAAGGACTGCGGAGGGCCAGGATTTAGATGTCTACTATCTATTGCCTGCGGACCACGTGTCGAGGGTCTCTTCACTCTGCTCTACACCAAACACTGACACCCAGGCACAGCCGAAGCTGCAAAAGGGCCACGTGAGCGGAGGTCACTTCATAAATCCTAGGTAATGGATGAAGTCTGAATATTTATTCAATCTAGCTATTCTTAGGATATCCTTGAAGTATCGGACGATCGATTTAAGTTAAGGCCCTGTCGTAGTAATCAACTACACCAGATTACTAGAATGACCTGGTTCCGCGAGCCGACGACTTGGTTGAAAATCTGTAGATACAGTCTTTTTGCTTATGCGTTCACACCTTCTTGTCTACTTTCGTGACTTTATAATGACTCTCCATTTGCCCGTGTGAAACTGCATGGTAGTGAACTGACGAAAGTCAATTGCCTGCCCAGGGACCTCGATTCTATCATATCTGGAGAGAAGGTTGGCTGCAACCATTCTCATTTCAGCCCAGGTGAAGCTTCGAAGAAATCTCAAGGCAGCATCAACTACTCCTTCAAGACATAGAATGACGTACTTGACTCCAATACAAGAGTGTTTGCCGGCAGCAAATGGGAAGTACGCTGTGATACTTGACAATAAAGTTAGCCTGAACTAATTTTGTCTTGAGATTTTGGACATACTCAGCAGCAGGGATATCACCCCTTTGATCATCCGGCAGCCATCTCTCAGGGATTAAACTCAATGATTCTGGCCAATACCTCTGATCTCGATGTAGGTCTCGGTAGGAAGCCGAAACTACCGTATGCGGAGGCAGATCGTAGCCCATGAAATTGATCCATTGATCACCGGTTCGCCGGCCCATCTCGGAAGCAATAGGATGCAAGCGGAGATTTTCCTTGATGTAAGCCTCAAGATACCGGTATTCTGGACTGCTTCGGACAGTTTTTCTCTCCACAATATCGCCAAGATCATGGGGATCCTTGGGGGGGAGTGATGTTAGGAGCTTGGAACGCACACGAGGATTGCGCGGTAGTTCCAAGAATAGGCATGCCATAGTCCCGGATGTGGTTTCGGAGCCAGCTAAGAGGATCTCGGACATTTGGTCCAATACATCGCGAGAGCTCATAGTCTCTTCTGTGTTCGGCCTCCTGCGATTCTCAACGATGTACTGGAGAAGGTCTGGAGAAGAGCTTTCCTTTCTCCTTGTGCGTTGTTTCATGATCGAATCAATGGCCTTATTGAGTCAGTGCTGCGAGCGCAATGGGATCAACAGACGCTACTGTGGCCGTCATACCGTTGTCATCTGCTTGGGCCAGTCGAAATTGACATTCAGGCCCATACTTCGCAGGAATCTCTTGGCGTAAACATACTGAAAACTGTTATCAAGGCTTATAGCCACTTGACGAAGTTTGCTCTTCATAACTTATACCTGTCTGCGAGGCCATCGAAGATGGCTCTTGGAATAGATTTCCAGATCTCATCCATGTATGCGTCACCTGACGAGCTCTTTGGGTTCACCTGCCCAAATCCTCTGCTGAAGGCGCTTTCCCCCATTCTGTCACCAGAAGGAATCAGCAAAAGAACATTCAAACGGTCCGTAGACCGAACTACACCTACATGTCAAGAGCAGCCCTGTGGAGATCGTCCATAGGATTAGTCTCAATCGCTTGCTCAGCTTGAATGTTTCACCAGACGGTTTTTGTATTGTTCGAGAAGGTCTCTCACCATGCCCTGGAAGACGAGCTCCAGATTGTCCACATAGCCCACAGTGAAGGCTGGCGACAGAAACCGCTTGAGACGTTTATGGGGATGGAATCGGCTAGAAATCTGTAATTAGCCAGAGTTCTTCCATATCTTTCTCGGCTAGCTCAAGGAAATGGCTTCTTCACTACTCACATCTCGCCAAAAAGGCCAGGGCTCTTTCTGTCTCGGGAGATTTCGGCATACATGGCACTTTTGGCAGGTCTACAGTTGACAATATTTGTTTGAAAGAGTCTTTGTCCGAAACCCAAATATGTCTAGGCCCCAGACGAAAGATTGGACCATACTTATCATGACTCTTCTCTACTAGCGTACAGATTTCTCCCGTAGAAAAAAGATATCGCAAGTGGAGAGTTGTCAGCGGGGCGTACCATGGTCCTGATACTTTTCGAAGCGGGGAGAGAAGAGCTTGGAAAATATGCAAGGCCTTGATGACAAAAATTAGGCATGTGACCACAAGTCCAAGAAAAAGATACCGCATTTTGAGGATTTCGTTGATGTGCTCTTTGACAATGGGGAGTGCTGGGTCTTGCTTGACAAGCTACTAGGCCAGGCAGTCCTTTTAAAGCTAGAAAGCAACCCTCTTCTTTGAGGATTTGTAGGTTTTACACGCGATGACCATCTATTAGTTCGATTCGGGCTGCCACGGGTGCACTCGACCTAAGTGGGCGGCATAAACTCAGTTGAATAAACGTTGATAAGCTCTTACCAATGCATTTCATGTCACCATTTCGAAGCTGCTGCTGACCAACTCACATCATAGAAGTATTTCAAGCAATCTAAACAAGAGTGAGGCCAGGCCATTCTTTCAAGATTATAGAAGCTAGATTTCCATGACGTAAGCCCTAATGCCAGATTGACGATATAACTGGGCTGAATTGGGATAAGCACAAACAAAAGAACCTAATTGCTGGCCCAGGCAGAACTGGAAAACGTTTACGACAAGTTAGCACTCATCCAGCAAATTGTAGAATCTGCACGCATGTCTTTTCAGTAGCTGGGTCATGCTTTTAGGGGTGGAGCAAAGGCTATTTTGATGGACACTACAGCGTACACGGGGGTTGGATTCACCAGAGTTACGAATGCCACGGTTGAAGTGTAGTCTGTCATGATAAACTCACAGGTATAGCCAAACCTTATATGAGATCATAGTAAAGTTGTACCTCCACCTTATTTCATGTACTACAGAACGTATAGCATGTATACGAGGAGGTATTCTGTTTATAGATTCAACACAAACCAATATACTATAGAACTGGGAGTTCTCACTATCTATTTGCCGAATCTCCCTTCTAAATAGAACCTTTGTCGTACGCACTAAGTCTCAGTCTGAGGAGCTCGTAGCCAAGGCTCGATTTTAAGTTCATTGAGCCTCACAAGAAAGCTTTGTCATACATTCCACTTTCGAGGGGCGGTCCCTTCGAGCCATGCTACCCATATACTCTGATTATCTTTCGGTCATACTCTGAACGCATGTTCATGACTATCGCTAGTCGTATCATACCTGAAAAAAGGTGCGCAACAACGTAACATGAATGGCTCAAAAGTAGGTGTCAATGATGACTAGACAAAAGCAATAGTCCTTTTCTTCGGGCACCGGCTTCTCCAATTATAAAACCTCTTCCGGTTTCCTCTTCATATTTTCACCCTAATGACGTTGATCAATCTAGACCTGACAGTACCAGCGAATATCAAGCTTGTATCATCATGCGTAAACATCTCCTTTTGTCCATTCATCAATAGCACGATCATGCTTCGGGGTCCCAATTGAGCGCGACTTATCAGACCACTAGTTATCTCTATCTCATCCCTTACGCTCTCGGGGAGATAGCTACTTGGAAGGTCTCGATGGCCATACGTTTCTGCACTGTTTGAGCTAGCTGGTGCAGATATAAAACGTGATAAAGACTGGACCCAGTCGAACGGCGAGCCCCCTGCGCTCCTATCAACGAAATTTGTCTAACGGTTGATCAGCCCTCTAGAGCGGTTCCCAGTTAGGTTTCGGATTGAAGTATTAAATCGTGGGGTTGAGCAGAGTGAAGAGGCCTTCTGCACTAGGTCCGCAGGTCGTAGAATCAAGATGGAGGGTTGGAAAACATCTGAACTCTGGGCCTTTGCAGCTTGGAGCGCCCCTCCACAGTCCTTGTACACACGTTCTCGTGGTCCTTAGCACCTAATCAGCCCCCGTGTGCCGTGGCTCCGAAGGGTTCTCCTGAAACACGGCCACCTGCTTGACGCCATCCTCCAACACACAGCTTTTCTAAAAAAGGGTCTCAACAGTGCTGGCCAATCGTACGAGCCACATCAATGCCATGTTAGTCGGGCCTAGAGTAACCCTGAGTGCTCGTCGTTCCTCGCATTTCGGCCGCAGATATAGCGATAGGCCACCTCATAGCCGACGAACCTCGTAGACGCCTGCCAAAGACAGGCATCAGTGCCTGGATCATACAGTCATGTCATTCTCCCAGTGTAATACGAACGAGCACCACATCGAGACACCACGTGGTGGTTTCCCACACTGCGACCCTTCGGTCTTGGCATCGGCACGGGTGCCGGCCGCGGAGAGGGGAACGGGCTCCACTCGGCTAGCCAAGCTCCGTGGTCTGATTGCTGGAATAACTCACCACGAGCCCCGGCTAAAAGGGAAGACCCGCTTCCTCCCACGGATTCGGGTCTGTGATCAATGCGGACGAAACGGCCCTGAGGCTGATATAAATCGGCATAACCGACATCAATTTCTCCATCGACCTGGTAGTGTGGGCTCGGAGAATTGACCTTCACTCCGTCACCAGTCACTTTGCGCCATCCCGTCGGACCATTCGAAACCATGACGTCTTCGGAGGGCGCCGCCACGTTCACGAACCCGATCATCCCGGGCTTCAACCCGGACCCGACGGTCTGCGTCGTGCCCGCAACAGACACGGCACCGGCGACGTACTTTCTCTCGACCTCGACGTTCGAGTTCTTCCCCGGCGCCGCCATCTACGCGTCGACGGACCTTATCAACTGGAAGCTCATCGGCCATGCCCTCAACCGCCGCAGCCAGATGGATATGCGCACTGTCGAGCCCGGCGCCGGTTCCTGGGCCAGCACGCTGCGGTACCGTCCGCAGGAGAGGCGGTGGTACCTCACCAACGGCGTCTTTCACCGCTATCGCCCGGCCGTGGACGAGCGCATCTTCCCCCGCGGCTTCTATGTCTGGACGGACAACATTTGGGACGATAGCGCGTGGTCCGAGCCTGTTTATTTCGACAATCCTGGGTTCGACCAAGATGTGGGTGACTGTCATTTCCTTTTTCAAAAAGATCTAGAAAACTGCAGACTAACGCAACCCTCAGCTCTTCTGGGACGACGACGGCAAGGTGTACCTCTCGACCACGGTTCGCATGGCGCAGCGCACGCCCGGCTTGAAGCTCAAAGACTTCGCCATCCATGTCTCGGAGATTGATCTGCCGTCTGGCCGCACGCTCACTCCACCACAGCTCATCCGCGCTTCACAGTTCGGTGTGGCCGAGGGATCGCATATCATGAAGAAGGGCAAGTACTACTATCTCTTCGTAGCAGAGGGCGGCACGGAAGCAGGCCACCAAGAATGGGTGCTTCGTAGCGAACAGGGGCCTTATGGGCCCTGGGAGGGCCAGGGCAAGGCTCTGTGGTACAACGGCCCGGACGAAGAGGTGCAGAGGACGGGACACGCCGACATATTTGAGGACGACAGGGGTAACTGGTGGGGTGTTTTGCTAGGTGTGCGACCTGTCAAGAATGGTGAGAATTGGCTTGAACCGCAGCTTGGCAGGGAGACGTTCATGGTTCGGGTCGATTGGGAGGATGATTGGCCTGTCTTCAACCTCGGCCGCAACGTCACTCTGGAGACTGTCGGCAGAGATTCCATCGAGAAGAAGGCGGTGGCTGATGAGAGCGGGATCAAGTGGAAGGCTGATCTGTCGAGGCCTGATCTGGAACTAGGATGGTACCACAAGAGTAAGCGCCTGTGCAGACAAGTGGCCCTTGAACCAGCTGACTCTTCACAGATACACCCATTAAGCGGTGCCACTCGTTGACAGAGCGTCCTGGATATCTTCGACTCCACGGAAACTGCTACGAGCTCACGAGTCCTGAATCGCCAGCGCTCTTGTTGAGAAAACAGACATCTTTCAACGAGACTTTCCGCGTCAAGATGTCTTTCCAGCCAAGCAGGCTGGGATATGAATCAGGCGTCACACTATGGTGGAACCAATACTCGCACGCATCTATCGGCATCGCAGCGGTCGCGTATCCTATTGGCGGTGGCCTGCTCCAAACAATCGTGGTTCGGGAGCCGACAGGCAAGAACGGTGAACTCAAAACAACATATCCCCTACTGGACACTGGCAAGAAGCTCGATACCTCGAAGCCGATACATCTGTCAATCGAGGCAAAGCCCAAAGACTACACATTGTCATTTTCGTCAGGAGACAATAGAACCAGTGTGTCATGCACGTCAGAAGCTCTGACAATTGCTCCTCCCGTAGGATGTGCGTTTTCAGGCGTCATGTTTGGCATATACGCGTTCGGCAAGAGCGAGCCAGCTCTGGACCCGGCCGACTTTACGGACATCGAGATAGTTGAAACTGCGTAAGGCTAGGTAGTATTTTGAAAGAAACGCTGAATAGGCTAACATGGTCGCTGTTTCGGGATAATGCTGAGACTGTCTCGTCATTCTTGGGCATGCGTTGATGGCTGTTTGCACACTTCAAAGAACTGGGCGGTAATGAACGAGATCTCGAAGTCTAGGCCGAGGCCGACTCGCCTTGTTCATGCTTCAGAACATCCTGTAGTGTGATTGTTGGATCCTCCAAAACTTGTCTCTCAACCAAGTCGTAGAATTGTAGGTATGTCTCTTCCCAAGATTTCGAGTAATCCGGCACAAACCCCGCCACTTGAGCCGGCGTAACGAGACTCATAACACCGTAAATGCGGTCGCGATGGTCTGTAACCTGCCTGTTGCGGATCGAGTGCGCAACATCCAGCAGTGAAGGGAGCTCGAGGCGGCCGTTGCGCCTCGACTCGGCGGCGAGACTTTGCTCCAACAACTCGCGCAGAGGTCGGAAATCGATCTCCTTCAGACCCGACGTTTGCCAGGTGGGCGACAGCTCTGCCAGCTTAATGCGTGCCAGGAATCTGCGCGTAGCCAACCCGCCCGTCCACT